CATGTAGTGCAATCATACAGTAAGGGATGACGAAGGGAGATCATCACTCGTTGTTCTGACATCTATACCCGTAGGCCCAATGGTAGTTTCTTTTTTGGGGTTCATATGTAGAATCCCATAAGGTAATCTCAACAAAGGAACTACTACGGGGCCTATGGGTAGTCTTGCCCGAACTCGGAACCGCTGAGATCTAAGCCCTTGAGCCGAAAAGGGCTCAGATCTGAAACCCCTTTACAAACAGGGTGGCTGTCAAAATCAAAGTTCCGTTTTGGGAACCCTAAACAATAGGTGCCGCATTATAATAGAGACCCCCCAATAGGGACCATAATTTTGACAACAACCCAACAATAGCAAAATAAAGCTAGCATCCTAACCAGGCTGCCCAGTAACCTAGGAAGAAAAAGGGCTCCCTTTTGGGTATTGGGTAGCTTTATAAGGAACCTAGGACTACAAGAAGGGAATAAGGGTATTACTGGGCATCCGAAAAATCCAAACACTCGGCCCTCAACAATAAAGCTGCTGTGCGGCCCTAAACCCACAAACCCTAAGCCCTAAACCCACAAACTAAAACCCTAAGCCCTAAACCCGCAAGCCCTAAGCCCTAAGCCCTATAAACCCACAAATCCTAAGCCCCAAACCGACAGAGGCAGAAGGCAGGCCCGAAGCCGGGCATCAGGCAGGTCGGCCAAGAGCCGCAGAGCGGATTTCCAAAGGGAGGCCTCTCTCGTTGGCGTTGAAGTTTAGGGCTTTAGGGCTTCGGGGCTAGAGTTTAAGCTTTGGGGTTTGGGGTCTGGAGTTTAGGCTTTAGGGCTTAGTGTTTTCGCAGTTTGAAATACGGTTTTGGGTTGGTTAGCAATGCTTATATCCTTCTTCAAACACTCTAGAAACCTTTGTGGGGCTTTACTCTCGTGCTTTGGGCTTAGGGTGTAGTTCTCAGAGTCGGTTTATGGATTGATGTATAAAGTGTGGTTTGTGCTCTTGGATTAAACGTAGCCAATTTCCCAGGCGCCCAAGTGGTGCACAGCTAAGCCCAAGAGGTTCAGAAAGCATATGCTGCTGGGGTTTATAGAGTCGTTCATGACTTCCGGAGTTCTCCTAAATATGCCAACGTCGGTTCAGGAGTCTGTTTGCAGTTTCCAGGCCCTCACTGCCCTGCATTCCAAAACTGAAGAGCTGAAACACAGCCGCCCCATACCATACCATAGGGGCATTAATAAATAGAATCATTATACTATATAATTATAATAAGGAACCCACAAAGTAGTATAGGTCCAAGTAGTTAGTAAAGCCCCTATATTGCATGCACAAACCACGAGAACCCTTCAATCCGACAAATTCGTACCTTCCCACACCTCTGCATTAACAAGTAGAGCAAGCTTTGGACTAGATTTGGGCTATATTGTGAAACTGTAATTATAGTATAGTAAGGAACCTCCAAAGTGTTGCTGAGTAATTTTCAAGGAATCTAGGCTTCTATATATAGTCTATAGTACTCCGACACCGTTGACAGCCAAGTCACCTTCTGGCATGCACCGGTGCTTGCCTTGCAAGTCTCTCTTTCAATGAGCTCATCAGCGTTGCCACTAGTGCTGCTATTGTTCCTCCGCCTCCAGGTGCGACTACCGACTCCCACCACCATCCCCGGACCGCGACCACCACCATCATCTCCACAATTGTGCTGCTGTTTGGTTTGCGATATTGCTCTTGCTGCTGCCATGCCCCTCTGCTACCATGACTATGACTATGCCCTCACTTCTGCTGCTGTTCTGCACTTCCAGACACACAGCCTTTGATGACGACCAATTGAAATCACACTAGCATCCTGAGTTGTGTAGGCCCCAAATCATTACAATAGCAGACAAGTTGACACAGACACAGCTAGCGAGCGATGTTCCTGACGACGTCTCTTTCGACCCGAATGCTTGAACAAACAACAAATCCTGAGCCCTAAATAAACCCTATGACACCTAACAAACCCTGAGCCTTAAAGCAACCCTACACCCTCAATCCTCAGGAAGCTAAACCCTGAAAACCTGAACCCTTTGCAACTGCACCGAACCTGAAGCATCTACAAATCCTGCCGGGATATCTTCAAGGCTTAATCAGCGATGACTCTTACCTTCGTCTTGTGACTTCCTTGATAGCAAAGGGTTTGGGGTTGACGGGCCCTCCTCCTGCTTATCCTTCCTCCATTCTTGCAGATGTCGCAGGAGTGTTTGCAGTTGTCGCGGTCGTCGCATACACCCTAAACCCTTAACCGTGATTGTGTTGGGCGAAAGCCGGTGTGCTTCAAGGACCCATATTGCGGGACTTGTAACCCCACTTGGGTGGCTGTCAAAATTCAGGACCCCTTTTAGGGTACCCTAATAAGAGGTGCCGTATTATAATAGGGACGCAGAAAGGTGCCATAGTTTTGCCCGCTTGGGGGTTCGTGGGGCCCAGCATATCGCAACGGTTTGAGGCTTAGGGTTTGGTGTTCAGGGTTTAGATTTTGGGGTTTGGGGTTTCGGGTTTGGGGTTTATGTCTTGGGGTTTTTTTACAGAATCACGGGTTTGCAGCTCCAACCCGTTGACCCCTTCAACCTCTTGCCATCTCAGCGACAGAGAGACTGATGAGATCGGGTTCGAGTCCATCGGCGCCTATCGCCTTCGAAGGTGAGGAAACTCAAGACGCTTCCGGGTCTACGACTCCGACGACAGGGGCCGTCATAATTAGAATAAGGTTGTGGGGTACGGGTACAGTACGTGGACCACAAGGATATGGGGATGAGCAATTCTGGTACTACTATTACTAAGTACTATAATGCAGGCTTCTATAGTCAGATTTCCAGGTTCCTAGCCGCTGGATCTAGAAGCTACGGGAGGACAGCCAGGGAATCATTGCATCAGCACTGGCTATATGCAGTTCCTATGACGAGGACTCTTCGTATATAGTACGAGGACGGGCATGCGGTAATTTTACAACCTCTAGATGCTAGAACTCGACTGCGGCAAAGTCCTGCAACACAGCTCGAACCATGCGACGCACATGTAGCCCTCTAACTTCTACTAGCCTAATCCGCAATAACTCCTTCAACAAGGCCAAGCAAGGGACGAAAAAGCTCGCTCTACCGGTTCGGGTCTGCGGGCACTTGAAGCGGATCGCACATCATGACCAGGCTTGTTGATTTAAATGTAGCCGGACACTTTCTGAACCCTGAACTTCTGCCACGGGGGCGGGCTGCTGATCCTGATGTGGGGGGGGGGGCCTTGGAACAACTAGAATAGGGTTTTGGGGCATATAGCAAGTAGTTCAAGTATATTGTCAAGGAATCAGAATCGCACTGCAAACCACTCAAGCTTCTATATTACACCCACCAAGGCGATCTTAGTCTTATCATCCTGGAACCTTCCTGTCCCTTCCGTTGTAACTGCTCTGCTCAGCCTCAGTTTGGAACTCATTTTCTCGCGTTGGTTTTCCGGGCCATGAAGCTACCACTTAGGATTTAGGGGTTTAGGGGTTTGGGCCCTAAACCCTATGACCCTGAACTGCAGTTTAAGCTTCAGGGCTCTAGAGGCGGAACCTGTATATCCGAAACCCGAGAACAACGCCCGAAAAAACCGCAAAAATCCGAAACACGAGCAAAAGTCGCACGCCTGTAGCAGGCCAAGAACCTGGGTCCACCTTCCTCGACCTGTCACTGTCCCAGATGGTCTGAGTACCTAATTGTTTAGTAGACTGTATAGGGCTTAGGGCCCTTTCTTCGGACCCTTGGGGCATGTCACTATCGCAGTCTAACTCCTTCGGATTCGAAACTTGAGGCTGCGAGATTTGGTGCTTGGGCTGTTTCTGGTTTAGGTGTTCGGTGTAAGGGCTTTAGATTGGGCTCTTGTCATTGTAGGCTTTACGCGAGGATTGAACTCTCGGTGTAATGTAGTTCGAAAGACATGGGCTTGCCGTGTCGGGCTGGCAGCAGCCTCCTTACTACTTGCTCGGCAACGAGACACCGGATTGCTCAACTTCCGAAAACAGCTGCAGCCCCATTGAAACCCCTGCACATTCGGGTTTAAAGTTTAGGGTTTAGGGTTTCCTAACAGCATAGCTATAGGGGCCCAGACTGGCACTAGGCTCTCCACCTTGCATCTGCTTCGGAATCAGCGCAGGAAGTTTTATGGAAACGCGTATTCAGATGTGCTTGCTCCGGAGGATCTGCTCTCAACACCCCACGCACCTGATGTTGATCTGTACAGTGTGCAGAGGTAGCTTGCGATGCACTTCGCCGTGAAACGTGTCTGGAAAATCATTGAATCAGTATCTTTTGCGGCCGTTGGGTTCGCATGAGTAGAGTCGAACCAGCTCGACGTGGACTATCTGCAATCACGTGCGAGTACAGTTATACAGGCGATAGAGTCAATAGGGCACGTGCACCTATCGATCGTTCTATAGCTATCTATCCGTATATATAGACATACCTGCGTATCCATGTGCGAGTGAGGTAGGAAGCCACCGCTTTCATGGCTGGCTACTGGTCCTTTGAATGTATCTCTTGTGCGTGACTGGATACAACAAAGACAAACAAACTCAAACAACGCTAAAAAACAATAGCGTACACACATCCATCTATCCGTCCGTCCATGCATCAATCCATCCCTGCATGTGTACATAGGTACTTGCATAAGTACTGACTGGGCACATAGCAGTGCATGTCGACATGTTTCGCTCAGCATGCATCTACGTGTCTACAGTACCTGCCTGTTTGTCCTCTTCACATTCAGCATGTTGGTGCATGATGGGGCGGTATCGGCACAGTGTACTTGGGCTTGAAAACAATACATACAAGGGATACTTGTTGAGCGGTCATGCTCCAAGTCATGGTAGCAAGCGTCCTTGTATTTCTGCTTTCTATTTCAGCTACTAGTTAATCGGATCCCTGAATTTCCCTAAGGCGCATCAATCAGCGAGTTCCCAGCTCGTCCTTGTGGGCTCAATAAGCTCGAAGATCATCTGCGGGCCGCACCCATCAGGACAAGTCTTCGACATGAAGCCTATCAGAGAGGAACAGGTAGTGCCGTGGAGGCTCCTGTCCAACCGAAGTCCGTTTCTAAACACCCCAAATCCACATTAATACTTATGAACCCGAGACCCACGTTTAAAATGCTTCCATTGTACAAGGAAGGAGCAGCAATCAACCGTCGCATGAATGCAGTCTTCGAAAGATCAATAGGTCGCAAGCCTCGATGGTTTCTCACCTGATGCAAGGTTTAGGGTTCAGGGTTTACGCTTTTCTCCCCAGTACATCCAATACATCACCCAAAACGCTCTTTCAAAAATGTGGCTGAGGAGCTCTACAATACGGACCCAAAATAGCACCTAATTAAACCCTAAACCCTAACACCTTATAAACCCTGAACTCAAAACCATAAAACTAGAACCCCGAGATGGAGATGTCCCAATAAGGTAGCCAATACAACAAGGATATTCTACCCGAAAGTTTGTGCTTGCGCGGTTTTGGGCTCCTGACTACATACACTTACCGAAACCCCAATTTCATCTCTACTGCACCTCGGTGTCTGCCCGTGCCTGAAGAAGGAAGACAGCAAGGTCTTCACAGCCGTACATGGCGGCCCAGCCAAGGCAGTTCGTTGTAAAGTTGCCAAAAACCTTGACCATCATTGGAGGTTTTCTGCTGAAGAGGCCATAGGCGCGACATCCCAGCTCAATGATGCGCCAGATGCCAACGGTTTCAAAGACTTTGTTGACGTCCGCCTTCTTCCGCAGCAGCAGCTGCGCCGATTCGATCAAGTAGATGTTGGAATTGCCCCAAACACCGAGCATCGCCAGGGGCTGTGAGCCGTCAGGGTCACCGTTCGGGTCGGCTCGCAACTCCAAAATCTTTGCCAAGGTTTCGGGTTCCGCCGCATTCATACACATTGTGTGGAGAGGTGGCCACAACAACGTAGATGTTGGGACATTGACCGATGCCCCGTGCTCAACCAGCAACTCAACGGCATCTGCCGTGTGACAGAAGTTTAACGGACCAGGTGTCCCACCTTTGCCAGCCATGGTATTTGCCCTGAGTTCAATAAGAGTCCTCAGGGGCAACAAGTTATCGGAGCGAAACCAACAGGCCAAGTGCAAAGGAGTACATTCCGGCATAACGCCCATGTATTCATCCGCACGTGTGCGGCTGTGTAGGGTCGCTCTGGCTGTCACAAGCTCCTGGGCTCATCGTGAGGAACCAGGGTTGTGTAGTCTCAGCACTATGCTGCAATAGAGACGAACATGCATGTCTAGGTGTGCATGTGTGTGTGTGTGTGTATGTACGAAGATCAATGAATACATGTACAAAGATGTGTATAAACGTACCGTATATGGGTATAGACACATAGAAAACAAGATAGTGTAGATAGATAGATAGATAGATAGATCCCACAATTGCGATCTACAGTAACAAGCGCTTTCTGAGTATGGTAACTGAGGGAATAAGCTCCTTAACAAGCACCAAGGTTCATGAATCAGCGGGGCGTCCCCGGCCAGTGCAGCACAAGCTACTGGGCCCACCCCAACTCGCCCTCGGCATTTCTTCAAACTTTTAAAGGCAAAGTCATCCAAAAACTCCTTCAAGCTCCGCTGTCGCGGAGGAAGGCCCAGCAGGCTTTCGAAGAGTGCCGAGAAAAGCCTGTATCGATCCAGATCCCCGTGGCTCTTTAGCTCAGCAATCTTACGCTGCAGAGCTCTCTGCACGACTTGGCGACAGGAAGCTCGGTCTGCTTCGACACTAAACTCCCCCGTGTGGATGGTGTGAAATGTCCACCGCATTGTGGGAAACTCTGCCGAGTCCCCCCTGGTAACGACAGCAATCGGAATGTCCGAAGCATCAGACAGAAGTTTGCACCACATCTCGGTCCTGCGGGGCCAATGTATGGACTTGCATAACTAGCACAGGGTGTTGGGCCTATATCATACCATAGAAATAAAAACATTTTAAGGAGCCCCAAGAAAGATGCATTATCAGCAATTCAGGCTCCGCATTAAGGCTTCTTGGTGGCTTTTGGCGTTCAAGGACTTTCGGGATTGTGCGTTTTCCTAAGTAGGCCAGCTAGACTATGAGTTGGTTTCTGGTACTGTAGATGTGGTGGTTGGGGATTACACAGAAACGCTGGAAAGAGGGAAAAGACGCTTTCGCTTCTACGCCTAACCATGATGAGCATTATGCTATCGACCGCTCCACTGCAAACCCCAATAGTCATCTCCTTCTAAATTTAAAACGAAAATCTGAACCATTAAACTGCTTGCAACTTCCAGTCCGGCACCATCCCCGCTGCAACCACGTGGGCAGCCCACAAGGTTCGCCAGCTTCGTTGTAACACCTGGCTGGTTCTAAGCTAGGCTCCGCTCTAGCGTCCCCATTTTGGCGATCCCTACATTCGAGAACGACCCACCTGGGAACCATAGCCAAGAAAAGCTCACAGGCATCGACATAGAAAGGAATGGAGAATATGTACTTAATCTGTTCCTCCTCTGTGGCTTCAGGAGCCTGGGGCACACAAAAGTAGTCCAGCCAAAGGTAAGCATGTTGCAGATTCCTGCACTCTGCCTTGGTCAGCTTGCGACCTTTCATGAAGAATTGTGTTGTTGGGTCATGCTCGATTTGAACTTGCAAGCAGATCAGCCCCCTCAGAAAATCTTGCAGAACATGGAGTCGCTCTCCATGAGGGTCGGGGTGCTCCCGGCCAAGCCACTGGTGTGAGATAAACACTACCCACGCCTTGGGGTCGGTGTGCTCGCGCAATTTCAGAAGACCTTTCTGCTTCAACTCGTGGTGTCGAAGAAACTTTCCATCCATGTTCAGCACATCCTGAACCTTCTGGGCAGAACATGAAAATTGAGGAACTGTTACACAAAAAAGGTATATAAACATAACAGTATGGTACTCCCACCCCAGGCCTTTAGCACCCACATCGGCGCATAGGTCCAGTGAGGGGAGTGTCGAAAGAGTATTGGATGCCTCTCACGGCCGGCAGGTGAACTCATTCCGCCTCAGGTGCGAGGTTGCCTTTTGGCAGCGCAGGCTCCTGTTCTGCGAAACTTGAGGCCTAAGGGGCCTCATCCTGAGCCGCAAAGCTGCGGCAAGCCGAGCATGCGCCGGAGGGTTCGGGGTTGTGGGATCCAGGCTGTAGGACAGGCCAGAGGATACGGAACGATACAAGAGCGGGGCTCGGGAGCCTAATTAGAGAGGAGCTTAGAGACCTCGAACAAAGAACGGACGATCGGTATCGGCAGTAATTAGCTGCTATACTCCAGGCAAAGCCTTTGGGTCTTGTGCCGCCCAAAATCAGGGAGTTTGGAAGATTCCGAACCGAATGAACCTGCCTTCTGTCCTGACTGCACCCTAGGAGATGTCTCTACGCCGCTTTGGAGGAGTTGTCTGTGCTCTATACTTCGAGGGGCTTGAATCGATCATTGGAATCGGGGGTCTATTGTCCGTTATTGTAACTCACATGTGCTTAATAAAGAAATGCCCTATAAGGAATAAAAACAATAAAAACACGGATGATACTAAAACAAGAAGAGTCATTGATTCATTATAGTGGTCGTTGTTAGGGCTTCGATAAAACATTAGCCCAATAGGGCCTCCACAGTCTGTCATGATGGTGTTGTAGGACACCACATCCGGGCCCGCTGGAACGACTTTGCCCTGGGTGTAAGGTGTGAAAAAAAACTTGGGGGGGTTTAAGGGCTCCGGTGTTTTAGTGTTTGGGGTTCAGGGGTTTGGGGGTTTGGGGGTTTAAGGGTTTCAGGATTTCAGGGTGTTCGGCTTCTCGGGGTTGAGGTTTTGGATTTGAGGCTTTAAGTTTTAGGGCTTCGGGATTGAAGGGGTTCAAGGGTTTCGGATAAAGTGGCCTCTGATCAAGAGTTGGAAGCTCCTTCGAAGATCTTGTTCCGACCTTTCGCAAATGATTCCAGCTTACAAGTTGAAACGACACTGCTATAAACGCACAGATGCGTAAGGACACTGAGTGGTAGCAGAGTACCAAGTCTACATGAACACTTGCAACTTCACGGAGGAATTACGCTCTGCATCGTGTGGTTCTGCAAACTAGTGCATCACGGAGACGAAGACTTGCCGTTTCAGTCGAAGGACAGGTGCTGATGTGCGCCAAGTATACATCCAACCGGTCCGAAAACCACGCATTCAGCATTGGAGACCCCTTAAACTTAGCCAGATAGCACCATGTTTAAATTTCAAGGTGGTATGGTTGGCCGTAGAACTTCCCATCAGACCGGAAACCCATCGTCACAGCTTGTAGTTTACAGGTTGCCGGATCCTGGACCACGCCCAGAAGCCCGAACCCCCCCCCCCCCCCCAAACAAAAAAACACGTAAACTGCAAGCCCGCTTCAACCTTAGACCGGCACTAGAGCCTCTGCACTCTTAGTGTCCATTTGCTGCTGAAACCTAGACTCCGCGTCCATCCTTGTCCCCTAAGCCGAAATCCGAACTTGCCTTCAGTGTCTCGAGGAGGTCCAGTGCTTCGATCCAACCAAATCTGCCTCGACATTTGAGAGTTCTCCGGTAAGGGTTTAGGGTACACCGGAAATCATGTGAGGTTGGACATTGCGGCTTCCCCTTGTGGTAGAGGGATGCATGTCGGAGTGCGTATAAGGAAGGTAGCATCTGCTGAGTCCTGGGGGTTTTCACCCTGGCAGAAAGGCTTTCATGCAAGACCGTGTAGAGGAATCCATATCTAAAAGGTGTTGAGACACAACAAACTCCAATGGTTCTGCAGAAACCAACAAAATCCAGAGAATAAGTTGCCAGCGGCCATGCCTGAAGGTTTGGGACCTCGTGTTCGGGGCTCGTGCGGGCTTCCGGTACACTTAAGCTTGAGCTTCACACTTCGTGTCTGGCTATCAGCCCTAAACCCTAAACCCTAAACCCTAAAACCCTAAACGGTGGCGTCGCTTTACCCTTTGACATTCGCCTCACGCGAAGCCTCAGACCCCAACACCGACCGCCGGAAATCTCGGTACACTGGTGACGACACTAATTCTGCAGGTCGTAAGCCCTCTTAGACATATAGACGCCTGGACCCCAATCCCCTATAAATCCCGAAATGCTCCAATAATCCAAACCCTGATGCAAGGGCCTTACAAAGCTTAATCAAGGCTTCCTATACAGGGATATATAAGGGTGATCAAAAGGGTGACTACAAGGGCTTTGCGCAAGGACTCTCATACGATTGAATTATTTGTTGGCACAGATAAGATTTTGCAAAACCTACACATTTTAATCACATCTCTCAAAACGCAAGGCTATTTGGGGTCAAGGTACACTTGTACTGGAAGGATGAAGCCCGTTCATCTCTAGAGCCCACAAGGTTGACAGATGGTCCGGGGCATCTGGGGGGACTCGAACTCCAAGCACTATAGCACCAGACCAGAGGCCGGGGCAACTTGCGCCTCCATGGTCAAAGTTTCGAAACACTTGAGGGTCTATACCCAAAGGCCCCAAAGTAGTTCCTTTTTGGGGTTCGTATATAGAATCCTATACGGTAATCCCAAGAAGGAACTACTTTGGGGCCTCTGCGTAGGTCCATACCGTCTGAACGCCAGAAGGCCGTCACCGAGTCTAAGGTTGAGAGTTCACGGTTGAGGGCTCATTGTTCGGTTTAACCACCGAGGCCTGAAAAGCTCAAGTCTTAAAACTATTCTTACTTGAATACCTCAATGAGCCGATGTTCCAGCCTCGCCGGCGGGAGCGGCGCAGCCGCTCGTTGAAGTCCTCTGACTCTGACAAGGTAAGCAGTTTTGAGAGAACTTAGCTGTCTACGTCTGGCTGAGCTTCTGAGATCCGCTGCTTCTTTCTCTTCTACCGCTTCTGTTCCCCTTCTGGGCTTGCGGGTTTCGGGTTTTGGGGGTTCATGAGGGCCTGTGTCCCAGGCTTTGGGGAGGCCGGCATCCACAAGCAATGCCCTGTAAACCCGAAGCTCCAAGACGGAAACCTGACCAAGCCCAACCTTAAAGACTAAATCAAGACTCCGAACAGCAAGGGTTTAGGGTTTATAGAGGCTTAGGGTTTAGGGTTTTGGGCTCAGGGTATATGGGGTTATATAGGCTAAGCCGAAAACCCTAGCTAAACCCTAAACTCTCAAGAGCAGGATAAATAGAAACTATTGAGGCCCCTGTGGTATGCTTTGCCCGGCGAACCTCGACAGTGATGGGCCGCTGAGCATCTCCTCTCGCAGCGGATGGCCTGCAGACTGCGCCACTCGAGGCTCTACCGTCTTTTAGGGTTTCGGGTTTGCGGTAAGGGTTTGGGGTTTAGGTTTAGGGTTTCGGGTTAGTTTGGGGTCGAGGGTTGTTGATGAACCCCGGAAAGCAAGGGGTCCGGCTAATTACGTGCTGGCGTGGGGCTGCAGGGCTTTTACTGCTTGAAGCTTTTTCACAGGGGTTATCGACCTACAGCACTACAAAGTTGTGAGCCGTCAAGAAGCTGAACCGAGCTGGCAAGAACCAAAAAACCTATTATTATGACTTCGGCTCGGTCGATTGCACTCTCTGGTAATCATCCCACGTCCTCTGGGCTCTACATTGCAAACTTTCGACAACCTTCAGCTCCCAAATCTCCTGAAAGCAGCCCCGTAACCCAGTGAGTGGACAATGCCTGCACTTCACATCCTACAAGCCCTGACGTGCTCTGCCTGCGCGGCCTGCTCGCCTTGGGCCTCTTCTCCCGCTTCGCCCGCTTTGGGACGCGCGGAGCGAGCCGTGTCTGTTGCCTGGTGGAGTTTCAGTTGGGATGCTTGGAGGACGACCACGACAGAGCAGCAACAAAAACAGTATCATCATCATCATGATCAATCAGTATCATCATCATTACCATGAGCCTGATGAACATGCTGTAGCAATATCCTTACTTACTGTCAGAGAGGGACCAGGTTTTGTTCGACTTCGTTTTGGTTGGGATGTAGGATTTTAAATTTAAGGGCAAAGGGAATTCATGTACGTTCGGATATTTGCAACGTGAATTCCAGAGCGGCGATGGAAAATCAGAAAACGTGTGAGCGACGATGCTCTTGATGTAAAAGTGTAGCGATAATCGCTGCACTGATCACTTGCGATTAGCTTTCGGTTCGTCCACTGTAAATGTGACGATGGCACAACGGTCTCGACCCGACCCTTTTGCACCCAAGAGGCATCATCCCTTCTGAGATTGATGTACCGCGAATTGTGGTATCTCTATCCCTCAGAAGGCATCATGGATCACTCATTGCACCTTGAAGCAGCCAGGGAGAAACATGTGTAAGCTGCTGTTTCATAGTGGCTCCTTTCAGGAACAGGAACAGGTCCCACAAAAAGCATTCTACTCCAGTACCCAGCTCAACGTTTTGCACATGAGCCGTGATTATACCCCCGAGCCGCGCCACTGAGCCTCACCCCCACGGCCCCAAAACCGACACCTCAAATCCGAAACCCAATGCACTCCCTCCTCTCAGCGAGATAATATGCCGGAGCTTAGCAGTATCTTCTGGAAGTAGAGTTCAAGGATTCTTCCTTGTTTGCTTCTGGTCATCCTTTAAAGAATCTTCCCTAATCAAGGGGTATTGAGCTCTCGGGAACCCTAAACCCTAAACCCTGACTGCTAGGCCCGGACGCGCATGGAGCAGGCCCAGCGCGTCGTTTCGGAGCTGCTGACATGTGCCATGTCCTAGTTAGACCTTTGACTATGAGTCTAAGGGTCCGTGTATCGAAACAGTATATATAATGCTTTCGGCCTTAAAGTAATCGCTGTTTAGTTAGTTTGGGGCCAAAGTATATACTAATTGAGTACATGTACCCTTATCATTGGGGTTTGGGTTTCAGGGAGCTGTACCTTTGACTTGACTTCTAAGGTCCAGCGTTTTCCTCTTCCCTTGACAATGCCAAAGGGTCCGATGTACTGTTACGGGGACTACTTCCCCAAATCATAACAGTAATTCCTAATATAGAAACCCTACAATTCTACCATATCGGTACTTTGGACCCCTTGGGAATGTGGGCCACAGGTTGCGCCTCAGATCCTTCGATCTGTCTGGGGTTCTACAGGGCCGTGGGCTTCCAGAGCTTTGTTTCTTACAGATCGGTGCCTTGCTAACCACACTTGGAGCTGTGGAGTAACTAAGAGTATAAGCATACATCGGACGAAGAAAGATAGGATTACTGACCAGTCAGACGTAGTCAGACCTCCATAGTCTTCGCAAGTGTCTAGGAATTCCGCCGAAGAGCAACGTTGCCCTGTTTGGCCTTTAGCCAGTTCGATGTGCCTGAATGCCAGGATGAACAAACCCAAAAAATGTGCACGGCACCCGAAACCCTAAACCCTTCTTGACCCTTTGATAGAAAGATAATCTCCAAGGAAGGCTTGAGCCACGACAGTCTGAGGGGATATGCTGCATGATATTCATGACAGACATGCGGAATCGGGCTCCAAGCTGGCTTCAAGGTTCCTAATCTTAAAAGTATTCCCCAATAAGCCAAGGAAATAAAAGGTTAAACTTTCAGGTTACTACTAAAATAAATAGTCCCAAAAAGTTTAAAGGTTGGGTATTGGAGAACTGAGTAATGATTGCAGCCCTCGCCCTGACTCACAGTGAGCTTTTCCCTAAGGCTGCATGTACCCGTATAGTATATACTTAGGCCTTAAAGTACCTACATAGGGACCCCTTTAAGGCTTAAGCATCTACTATAAAGGTACATGGAGCCTTTGGGTTTTTCGTCACTTGATGACGCAACGGAAAACAATCCTCGCGAACGTGAAACCTATGCATCCGGGCAGCGCAGAATCATCGAAACCTGGCCATTTCCGCGTACCCTCTGAACGCACAGCAGTATCCTTCACAGACCCAACGCACCCGAAAGCTGCATCATTTAGTTTTGAAGGCTCTAACATTTCCTCTCCTTCCTTGCTGCGCATGTCAAGTATATGGGCTGAACACAGAGTTCGAAACTTGAGAGCCGAACCTCAAAGGAACCCAAGTAAGAGGGGGAGCGAAGTTTGAGAAGTACCTGTGCTACATGTCGATTTCAAGACTCCCCAAAACTAAGCATGCTTCGAGTGTTGTACTAAGACCTACGGGAAATTGACAAGTATCACCAATAGGTCCTTAGAAGACTTAGCATATTGCTTTGAGCCGGAGCATCCCCAAGTTGCATCCTACACCTTTCAAGCTTTCCGTCGCTCTCCCTACAACACGTCTCAGTGTTCCCTGAATGACGCTGAGCTGAGCTTTGGGGATTAGGTATTCAAAGCTCCATGCAAGAAGCCGCAAACCCAACAAGCTGCGAGGTTTCATCGCGATACAAGACTGTCTTTCTCCAGAGTGCCAAGCCCCTTGAAATCCCAGAAGCCTCTAATAAGTCCTTCTGAACAGGCTCAGCATTAAGTCCCGATACAACTATAGCAGTAACTTAGTCTTAGTGTCCCGACATGCTTTCGGACCCTTTGCGAAGGACTCTGAGTTGCCCAAACATCGGATTCAGATAACTCGACTGCTCGTCGCCAACTGCATCGCTGGCTGCCCAAGCACGATCGGCACGAAAGCCCCGCATCGGCATTCGAAGCCGGTTCTTGTGGTTTATAGGGTATAGATCATTCGAAGCCAGGGTTAGGGGTATACTGCATATAGACACACTTGACGCGTTCGGGGCTTTGGTTCTGAAACCCGCTCTCCTCGCCGGTACTTACATGCCAAAGAATACTCGAACGGATGAACTATATACTCTTTGAACACACCAATGGGGTCAGCGCGTGGGCATGGGCTCGCCGAGCACTTCACCTGATGCTGTTGACGCTGCTCATCTCGATATGCGAGCCACGCTGAAGCCTGGGCTTGGCAATTTGGGTATACCCAAGCCCCCGGCCCCCTAAACCCTGAATCCATCTTTTGAAGGACCCCCAAACATTTAAAAACGAACGCTAAACCCTAAACCCCCTAAACCCTAAATCCATCTGTTAAACCGGATCCCTAAACATGTGGGTTTTTCAGGGCTCAGGGAGTCCGCAGGGACCGAGGCTGCCGAGCTAGTTTCAGGCTAAGCCTTATAACGGCTTATGATGTGTATATATCTATGTGTAGACTACATAAATGTACAAATATATATGTATGTATATACATATATATGTACGTATATCTATGTGCTTTTATGCGTATATACATCTAGTTCTGGTTCCGGGTTAAACCCAAATAGACGTAGCTGTAGGTAAATACATAACAGAACGCACATGTAAATGCAGAACTGAACGCAAATATCAATAAAGATAAGTGTTATGATTGATAGTGTTATTGCTCTTCTTATTACTGCTCTTATGATTATTATGATGATTATGGTTATGACTAGGGTTATGATTCTGATTGTGATGAAGGTAATGAAAGTTGTTATTGGTATTGTACATTGTTCCTACTATGGATATCATTGCTATTCTCATCAAGTTGATTATTATTGCTATCATTAGCATTACTACTCTTATTATTAGTATTAACTATATTCATTTATATATATATATATATGCATATGCGTCGCATTTTTGTGTGAGCACACATAGGTACACAGATACAATTTTGTATACATCTACATACAGTTGACTGCCAGAACCACAACTCTGGTCATGCCCGTTGACATACAAGTCAGCAACAGTAACCAGTTCAAGCATAAACTCATACACCTCTGCGTTCAAGCATCCGAAACTCAATGCACCTCATTATTGGATCATCGAAATTTAAGCAAACCACTTCCACCCCAAACCCCAACCCCAAAATCTAAACCCTATATAACGCCCCAACTCAAAACGAGCTTCTCTCTCGAGCTCGTTCCCGCACTGGACCTCAAAGAGAGCGAGAAGTTCGAGTCTTTGAACCTATAGGCTATATGGGTTCAAGGAGTTCTAACACGGGCTCTGGAAACTTCCCATACTCTACATATCGAAATATCAACTGCATGGCGCGTGCGTGGGGTGCTCTCTTTAAGAGTAGGCGCGTGCACCCTCTCTTATAATCCTTTCCTAATCTCCACAAACGTTCTCAATTTGCCCCTGAACATGCTCAAAATCGTCAACTTAAAACCATACACCCTGAGCCTTATAGCAGGACTTCATATGATAAGGCTTCACTTGGCCCGAGCGACGTTCAGGTTTACGGTGCGGTACAAGGCATGGGGGCGAGTGGTGCATCCACACAAGAAGGGGTGGTGCCCCACAGATGAAGCTACCATGCTCGTGGCCCCCCCCCCCCCTCCCCCCCGCAATACTGGCCTTACATGAACTCTGCCGATTCCCCCAAAGTCCCAATACCCAAATGTGAGTGTAGGAAAAAGTACGGTAACTAGAAAACATATTCGTATTTCCTAGTAATCCCCATCCAAAATGACCATGGCGTACCCCAAACCCTATTGAAATTATTTGCGCCGTAGATTACGGCGCAACCTCAGTCGTTCCCTCCGAAAAACACGCAAAGTGCGAAATGCCGAGGAGATGGCTGGCGGGACGACAGCATACTGCGCACAGCACCAGATCCCTGCAGGGAGCTCATCTGGGCGCTTACCTGGTCGTGGGTTTCAGGTGTTAAGAAATCCAGGTGCTCCTGATAGCGTATAAGGGGGTTGGGGTTTAGGGATTTGGGTTTAAGGTTCAGGGTTCAGGTTTCCGATAGTCACAGCAAGGTGTGCAGGAATGTTAGAAGCACCTGAAAGCACACCAGCTAGAATGCCTGATCGATGAAGACATGTCTAATGGATAGATATGCTCTGCATGTGCCCGCCATCGCTTCCCACCGTCGCTATCTGTCAGAAAACTTTCTCGCCTGGCATAAGGTGAGGCGGTCTGTGTGTCTCGAGCTGGGAACACTACCGGACCCTAAGACAGCTATACCTTCAGCGTTCCTTTCTATGAGGTCTTTAGATGTATATAATCTGTACTTATATGTATATGTATACACTGTTGCTTTAAACAATCAGGTGGTAGGATTTGGGGTGGGGCCGGGTGCAGGTAATGTCAAGAAACCAAACTTGGAATGTTAAGTACCCTCTGGTTTCCAGTGACACCACAAAGCAGCCCAGCACACCTCTTGCACTTGGGGTGGGCCTTGCTGCTTTGTGCTTCTTCGTATGCATACGGCGTATTCATATCGTGCTCGCAAAGAGACATGCAAGCTCCACCACAATGTGCTCCTGTCTAGGAAGAGCGCTGGGCTCGTTCGGGCGTTGCGCCCGGAAGCGCCCACTGCGCTTATCCACCGCAAGACCACGTCCCATCTGACTGCTGCTGCCAGACGGAGATCCATTCTGCCCAGCCAGAGCCCCTAAAACTCGTCTTTCAGTCAAGTCTTGCGCTTGCTTCCTAAAGCCCTAAAGCAACGGGATGCGATATCCTGGACCCTGACAGCACCGATCGTCAGCTCCGAACCCTGATCATTAGGGTTTAAATGGTTTTAAAGTTTAGGGTTTAGGGTTCAAGGTCTAGGGTCTAGGTTTATCGGGTTCAGGGTTTAGGGTCTTGGGAGGGGGCGACTCGCGAACTCGTAGCCCTCAGACCCATCAGCCCCTAAACCCTAAACCCCTAAACCCTAAACCCCTAAACCCTAAACCCCAAACCCCATCAGCCCCTAATCTGGAATTGTTCCTGCCTGCGGGGGCGCAGACATGTGACTCCAACGATCCTTCTCGCGCTCCAAGGAACACTCCTGGCCGTGGGCTACGATGACATAAAGGGGGTTTAGGGTTTAGGGATACTTATTTCCAGAGGGTTCTGAGCTTGGGTCTTGTAAGGCATTAGGTCATTATAGGGCTATTGGAAAGCTGGTTGCTGATATCCCAAAGGCGCCGAAGCTCCAGAGGAAGTCCCCAAGCCCCTAGAAATCGGAGCCCTCAAACCTCAACATCGCCACAGGGCCCTCATGCAGACGCTAAGCCGGGGAAATGCCAATCGTTTAGGGAAACAGCAGTCATGGAGCTACATCCTCTGGTTGTCACCTCTGCAGCACCGGAACCTGATCTTAACACCCCAGCATCCCCAACCCCATACTCCTAGTTACCATCTCAAACATCAAACCTATAAATCCTTATTCATAAGTCTATAGGCCCCTTAGAACCATAAATACTCTGTTGGGTTTTATATGAACAACAATAATTCCTAAGGAGACTATAGAAGTTATCTGGGCTGCAGGTTCCTGATTCGGATGCGTCCTCGGAGTAGGCATAGCCGAAGCTGGAACGACGCACACTGACTCGACTCAAAGTGGAGCCTTGCGGGCTCTGTTTAGGGTTTCGGGGTGTGGGGTTTGGGGCTTATAGGGCTACTGTTTCGGATTTGGGGGTTGGGGTTTGGGGTTTTGAGGGCTTAGGGCTACTGGTTAGGGGTTGGGGGTTGGGGGTTCTTTGGGGGCGTCTTGTCAAGGCCTGTCGCATTTTCTGAGGTCTTTCTATTTTGCGTGGAGTGCTCAACGTTTAGGGTGAACGAATTCGGGTCTAGTCTTTGGGGCTGCATGACATCATGCTCCCTGCGCTTGAATGCTTAGTCTTTACTCTATGTTGTGTCAAGGCCGGTCGCATGACAAATTTTGTCAGTAAACCCTAAAGCCCGAAGCCCTAGAGCCTTACCCCCGTCCAGATTGCTACAAGGTTTCTGATAGGTTTCTATATGTAAGGGTTCTTAAAGGTTGTATCAGCATCATTTTGCTTCATCTAGCTGGATCTGACAGGTAGTTCCGTAAGAAGTCTGTATATATATATATATATATGTATATATGTACATATGTATATGTATATGTATATATATATATATACATACATACATACATACATACATATACATATATATATATATATATATATATATACACGTGGATCGACCGGAATGTCCCTCAGCTAATAACCGAATAACCAGAGGCAGAGCAGGGTCGGAACTGTAGTGGTGCAGGGATTCCAGCGCTACTCATCTGAGGTTCATAGGAGCCTTCAAGGTGATTTTTCGGAGGCCTCACAAGGTGGGATGAAGGTAGGTGGGATTAAGGATCCCTTATATAAGGACTCGTATTTGGGAACATCCCACCTACCTTCATCCTACCTTTTGAGGCCCCCGAATTTTGCAGGGCCCTGTGAGCACAGCGGCATGATGCCTCTTACCTTACTGGCTCAGCTCTTTCCGGGAGTAGCATTACCCAAAAAGTCCTGGGTCCTAGGTACTGTTATCCCAAAATGACAATTTTAATTCCTAATATTAAAGTCCTGTCATATAGGTACTTTGGACCCTATGTGGGTTAGGAGACTCGCTGCATATGTGATGACTAGATCAACTGTGTATCCTGGTAGCGTTTGGACTGGGCAACTGCACAACTTTTGCCTCCCCTAGTACAATTACTGTATTCAGACGACTTAGGGTTTAGGGTTTAGGGTTTCTTGATTTATTGTCAAATAAGGCCTGGTGGTTAGTTATAGTACGACCTTCAGAACAAGATCAAACACCATTTTCACGCATGTTTTAAACACCTTGGCGTGTATCCCGGAAAACTACAGGTTACTGCTTGGGACTATAGTGGGATGGGATTACATCAGGGATTAGAGTACCCGAAAAAGGTTAAAAGTTACCTACTGCGCTACTAGATAAGAGCGCAGGGCCTTTCCGTAACATCTCCAAATCCGACTGCACCGTTGATTGCACAGGCTGCAGCGGCTCCTAGCCACAAACGCGTTGTTTCGAAACAGGGGCGTGGTGATGTGAAGTGGTAATGGGCTTAAGGCTTGCAGCTTCAGGCTTATGCATAAGTCTGGTTTCACTTTGGTGTCGGCTTCGAGTATTCAGGCCTCTGATAAGTTGCACCCTGAGGGCCGGGGTGCAGGTTCGGGATTTCTGTTGGGGAAGTGCTTGATTCTGATTCTAAAGGCCGAGAGAAAGACCCTAAACCCTCAACCCTAAACCTTAGAAGACTGCAGGATGAGATGCGATAGACACCCCTAAACTCGAAAACCCTCTGTCAAAGAGCCTCTTAAATGCTCTGCTGGCTCCGAGTTTTCGCGCCAGAATCTGGGCAAGTAGGGTTCAACCTATCAGCGATTCAGGATCCTGACCTGACGTCTATCTCGCTCGGCCACGTGGGATCGTGATCTTTTGTGAAACCCTGACTTCAAGTATTTACCGACTTGAGCCCTCAGGGCTGCCTTTAGCAACTGCAACGGAAAGGTCCCAACCCTGCAGCAACTGAGTAATCTCAACCCTTCATAATCCTGCCACGTGCTTTTGCAAATCGGGGTCAATCATGGCCGAACACACCTACAGCCTCAACCAAAACCTTAAACCCCAAACCCTGAAACCTGGATCTCTTCCCGCTCGTGAAGGTAAACTTTGAGGCACAAGCGGCCCGAGACCGAAAACTGCAGGGTTTAGGGTTTTGGGGTTTTAAATGTACCTAGAGGCTCCAGAGTGGTCATTTTTTGTGGTGCGTATATAGAATCCTATAAGGTAATCCCGAAATGGAGCTACTATGGAGCCTGTCGGTAAACTAATCGAACAAAACCATGCCCTGGACAGGAGCGCTTCACGTCACCCAGACAACCGAATCCCCAACTTGGCCGCACATGCGGCATTGAGTTTCGCCTTCGGGTGTGTTTCGGATTCAGGTTCTGAAAATCGGCCAAGGTGCAGAATGCGACGGCACGACGTTGATGGCAACATCACCTGAGCCACCCGAATCGACAAGCAAAGCAGCAAACGATGCTTTGCAGCAGTCTTGGCATCGGATCATTGCAAACGATCGTGTATCGTATCGAACCTGCTTGATACAGTGCGACCCTTAAATTGGTGATTCTAGATTCGAGGGTCTGCGCCTCGGATACCAGAAAGGCGATCCCATGGAATATCTCTCCTTTAAACCCTAAATCTTCCGTCCCTCCAGGCCAAAAATTAAAAAGGGACAAAAGAAAGACCAAAGGCATTCGAGGATTGGAGTTGGTTTAGGGTTGCTTCGCCGATAAGTTGCGAAGTGCCCAGGCTGTACACGTGATGATCTTGTTGCTAACAGTGCGTGAACTAGCAATGGATATCAGAGGTACGACGACAATTGCTATGTTGTTTTGCTCCTTCGTGCTACGGGTAGTCTTAGGCTTGTAAATGATATCGTCGTGTTGAAAGCACTGTGAGTGTACTGTACTTGCAGTCGGCCCTGTACTTGCGGTTAGGATGCTGGTTCTAAGATGAGGCCGCGGACTTTAAGCTACGTCCTACACCCTAGTAGCTGCTTTCTTATGGCTGTGTCGAGTCTTCTGTCATCCGAAGCGAGACAACAAGGCTGAAGGCCATGGATTTAGGGCTTGTTGAGCTGTGGGGTTTAGGCTGTTTTGGGCCGCCAAGCTGCCGTCATCATCCGGTTTGTCTCCGATACCGGCCATGAACCTCAAACAACGGTTCGGATTAGGTACTTGGCGACTTTTTGAAGCAAGTGCTGCCATTCTGGGTTCCACGGTCGTCTTGTCGAACAAAGGCGGGGACACACCAGAAGCTCTCTTTGGGGTTTTGGGGGGCCTCCGGTCGAGAGTGCAACTGTAAACTCTCAGGAGCCTTGAGGGGTCTCAGGGCCAATTATGTTGGGCTCAGCGGTAGCACGAGTTTCGAGGCTACGCGACTCCAATTAACAGTGGCACTCTTGAACTTTGGCATCAGAATCCCAAACCAAGCTACTCCAAAAACACTGCCCTAAAGCGCACCGTCTAAAGCTTGCACGCCACTCCAAGTCTTAATACTTGTGGCCCCCGCTTCGACTTGAGTTACGTGAATCCGTGGACCCAGACCCGAGTCGTTCGGATATCTCGGCTTCAAGGAGCAGGCCTTTAGGTGAGCCCCGAACCCCATGACTTGGATTTAGGGTTTAGATGCTTTTGTTGGTTTAGGGCTTAAGGCTTTTTTTGCCTAGGGTTTAGGGTTCAGGGTCACTTGTCGGCAAGGAGCAGGTCCGCTGACAGAATCAAGATCTCACCGATCAAGGTCGTCAGCACAAGGGTCACAATACAAACGAGGCCTCAGATACCAAGGATCCACCAAATAGCCAAACAGATACGGTATCAGCCTCAAAATGCAGGAGGGCTTGCCTAGAGGCTCCAGAGTAGTTCCTTTTTGTGGTTCATATATAGAATCCTATAAGGTAATCCCAAAAGGAGCTACTATGGAGCCTATTTGTAGGGATCCTGAAATACTAACAACATGAACCCAGGATGGTTTCCCCAGATCTCAGCATACCAAAGGCGGATGGGTTTGGACAGCAAGGTTTCCCATTCCTAGGGGCTCGAAGATGGGCGATCTTGATAGTAAGACTGGAGTCTGGGGGGATAGATCTCTAAGTTCGTGTCCCGTTTAGGATCATTCTTTCTTCAAGGGCGCCGTACTATGTTTGCGGACCCCAAATTTAAAGAACTACCCCTTTGATAGTGTAAGAAGACAGGGCCGGCAAAGTGTGATAGTAGACTTTGAAAGTGCTCAGGCTCATATATTGAGGAACTGTTTACAGCTGAAGCCTAAAAGTGCAAGTCCAGCAATTACAAGCCAACAACTTCTAGAATGCGTTTTGAGATATGGGTCTGCGGTTTCAGCTCGAGGGTCTAGGGGGCTAGATGTGCCAACTGCTCCCGGTAAGGTCTCGCATTCGACGCGCGGCTCACTCGAAGGAAGTTGGTGCCGATGAAGAGTTGGCTTACTCCTTTCAGATCAGCTGCGAACTTGATTGCATCAAGTACATAAGCTACCATTGGCTCGATTTGATACCAATATCTCTTCCTTGAGTGTATCAGACAGGAACACACATGTAACCTGAGGCTCTGCTGCATCCGCTACGTGACAACAGTCTGCCTTCGGTCCAACAAGTCGAGCTGCTCATCCACAAAATGACCCAAACCGGTACCACACATGTCTGATGTCCCCCTACGCCCTAAGCCTCTACACTCCCAAACCCATACTGTAACGACCTCGAGATGCACTCCGAACCGCCATCCCTGAACCAAGATGCTTCAGCACAAAGCGGCACAGTCCTCTAACGAACATGGCCACAGTGACGACCAAGCCGACAAAGTTGGAAATGTAGGTCAAAACGATCCATCTAGACCTCAGGCTCAAACAGGAGTCATCTAGGCTTTGGGGTTGAAGGTGCGGCAAGCAGAGGACCCGTATATTACCATCATGGAATTTGGCCCGCAAACGACCATCGTCATCAGGGTTTTTAAGGACCTCATTCCAGAATGGTTATATGATGGAGCCTCTAGGACTCTAGGTTAGAGTGCTATACCAGTTTTACGGCTCTCGCTGTCGTGTCGAGTGTTCGCCTCATCATCCAGGCTTTGGACCCAGTGCAGGGCTGACCCTGACTTCAAAGATGCTACTGCAAAGCCTATCAGAATCTTCTTAGGAAATTCTTCTGAACAGTGTAGGGTATGTGCCCAAAGGGTCCTATTTACTGTTATGGGGATACTTCCCTGAATCACCATAGTGAATTGCTAATATAGAAACCCTACATTCTACTACACAGTGTACATAGGACTCTTTGGGGGGCAAAGTCAAGGGTATGACCAAACTCTAAGTCCAAGCCTGAATAAACCTACCGTTTTGGGTTTCCTTATTATGATTTCCTTATATAAGTCCTTAAAAAGGTAGGTTCTTCGGTTCTTCGGGGTTAAGGTAAGTCCTGAAGCCTGGTTTGTGCTAGAGGATCCCGGGCTGCACGGCCCATCGAAGCCCTCACCTTAAACGGCATGCGCAAAACCCCCCCAAAAGCCTAAAGTCGCACAGGGTTTAGGGGAGCCCAGGAGCCGGAAAAACCTAAGGCTCTAAATCCGAAGTAGGCAGAGGGTACCTGAGTATCTCAGTACCTGTCTCTCCATGTATCTGGGGAATCAGAGAGGGCCCAAATCGCCTGCACAGGGCAGGAATATTGTAGGGCCCAGCACCCGCCATGGGTGCGTCTGCCGGCTACGCGCAAGCAGTGCATAGCGGCAAGTGTGCTATGCACAAGCTGGGCATTCAGGTTTTGCCCTCACCCGACATGATGGCGAACATGGACGCAAAAGTCACACTGTGTAAGGTAACTTTGTTGAGCATTCGTTCGGAGGACTTGCTCGCAAACTACACAGCAGATGCGTTTGCGACTGGCTTCAGGAAGAGGCCGGCTTTTCAGCTGCGCGGCATCAAGCAGAACAGAGGCTCGTCATGCGAGGGAGAGTGGATCACCAAGCGGCAACCTGGCAGCTCATGCCTTTCACCTATTGTGATGGTGTTTATGGGTTCGAAGGACATGCTGTGCAGAGTGGCCATATTGAACACGGGCTGGGAGGACACGCTCGCACCTTTCACCATAAAGGAGCCTCCGACTGGCTTCAAGAAGTCGTTGGCTCTCCAGCCGCACGGCATCAAACAGAGCACAGGCTCGTCAGGCGAGGGCATCTGGACCACCAAGCGGCAACCTGGCAGCTCATGCACTTCACCCGATGTGATGGTGCCTATGGGCTCGAAGGACATGCTGTGCATGGTGGCCATGTTGAACATAGGTGTGGAGATGGTTTGGAGGACACGCTGGCACACTTCACCGTGGCGGCTGGCCTCAAGAAGACGCGGCTTTCAGCTGCGCGGCATCAAGCAGAGCAGAGGCTCGTCAAGCGAGGGCATCTGGATCACCACAAGGGTGGGAGGACACGCTCGCATACGTCGGTAAAGGAATTCTGCGGCTGCATGATGACGTTGGCTTTCCAGCAGCGCGCCATCAAGCAGAACAGAAGCTCGTCAGGCTTTCGCTCTAATGACGCTGACTCTGCTATCTTGACTTAGCTGTTCCTGATTATATAAGTGAGTGATGCTGGAGCGCTTTAGATTTGCGTGTGGAGGTCCTATGGCCTTCATGTTATGGTTGAGTTTGATGTCCCGATATCACCTCGATGAAGGTGTTAGACATCCTGGGTATTGTAACCGTGTAGGAATGGCCTCATTTGATACCCATGAGGAAGATCCTGCACCTCTTAAGGTCCGATATGTGGATCGTATCATGTTTGGTGCTTTGATCGCCGGTTATGGAATACGAAGCACCTTTTGTCTGCCGTGCATTTTCAGGCATCGTCCATGCGCCATCGTTTTGACTTTGTTGAAGGAGCGGGACAGCTTTTCCTTCGCTGGCTCAATCCCGCTTCCTAGTGCGAGTCCATACTGGTGACAGTCAGATTACTGGTCCGCACTAAGCAACTCAATTAAGTGCATGCCAATGGGCTGCGTCCGACTTGGACTCTACGCCCCAAAAGCGAGAAAAAAAGCGAGGGGAATCAGAGCCACGCCTAAGCATGGTCTTAACAAGTCCGGCACAGGTTCCTGACTTTCCGAAACTCACATTCAACAAACCTCGTACCCCAAATCTTGGGGTCGGTGCCAACTGTACTGCCGCAACATCAGCGTCACATTCCTGAGTAGATCTTCGGGGTTGAAGAGGAGTTTTGTGGCTTCCAGGGTCCAGGGTTTAGGAGGCCTGGACCCTAAGCCCCAAACCCTGTTTACATACACGCATGCATCCATGCATACATACATACATACATACATATCTAGACAGGTGTAACTACATATATACATATATGTATATACATACATACATACATATATATATATATATACATATATGCATATATAAGCAGTTCCCTTTGCTTGCAGTATCCCTTGGTAGTGTAGGGTTGCAAGCTCGGGTGCTGGGATCTCACTCTTCACCCTATGGGGGGTGCCGAATGAAGGATTTCGCGACTCTGGCCACTATGAAGGTCACTTTGCTGCAGGCTACGATGGCTGAATCCTGACCTTAGGGCTTGTTAGGCATTACAGTGTTCAGGGGCCCTAACCCGCATGGAGCTTAACTTTCGCAGGTGCAGGGCCTTGGGTGGGCATCCCTATTCAGTTACCCGACGCGAACCTGAATCCTGACTTCTTGCCCGAGATGGCGCCGAACATGCAAACTGACCAGGCTATTCCGGCATGTGTTGCTACGAGAACTTTTTGATACGATTGTGACGGCCAAACGATCACCTATGTCCTGAAGCTTAACCATTCGGCTTCATGCAAACGTGCAGGCCTACCGGGAGAGCTTTTTGGTCCATCAGGCTGGGCTTTGGGGCTTTACGGCTTCGGGGGGGTTCGAATTCGATGGATTTTCAGTTTAGGATTTGGTCTCTAATATAATAGTCTAGCATAAGTTCGTTGATGGTACCTGGCCATGTTGGTATAGATGTACGGGGACGTGCGTCTCCGGTGATCATATGATGAATCGTGACAAGTCGCACACACAGCACCACGGAAACAAAGCAGAGATTGCCCAAAATCTCGCTTTGGGACAAGTCCGGGCCGTCAAGGCCTGTCGCACTTGCTGCTCAAGTCAATCGGCTTGGACTTGGCTTAACTACCCAGTCACGCTGCGTAAGGGCTCAGACAATACAGGGGTTGTTCAAAGGGATGACCGCACACCAAAAGGTTAAAGGTTGACCACCGGACGCCTACGAAGGTCTGTGGAACGAAGGCTGCGCATCTTGCTGATCAGCATGCTGGGATTGAGTGGGTATATAAAGGCGAAAATCTAAAAATATCGGAATGAAGACTTTCTGGTGTATTTTACTACAGTTTGTATTATACTTTATTATGTTCCATTATCTGACTGATTATTATTGAAACTATCCTGGATTGTTACACTCAGAAAGCATGTTCCTTATATAAGTTCGTTAATCGGTAGGTTATTTGGGGGAAAGGTACACGCCAGTCATCAGAATTGCATCACAGCTTACTTTCATTGCTAGTGTTATCATCTGGGCTCTTCTTGCTTGTGATCTATACCCGCGCAGAAAGATAACAAGATACGATTTGTCCACACGGGTTCATACATCCAGCCCCCCGCCTTTTAAAACCTTTAGCCCTCAAAAGACTTCAGGAAACCTATCGGAACCCGTAACGGAAGCAAAGCAGTATGGGAACCCTTCTGGGAACTCTCACCCCTCGTGCACTGGGCCTGCAATTCCCGACATCGACGAGCACCAGAGGCCACGAATCATCGTCGCTTGCAGGGTCGCCGCAGCCATCCAAACTAATTGTATGTCCTTGGCTCTGCAAAACGTAGGGGCCTGAATAATTACAACAGTGCTGGGGGGGGGGGAGATTATGGTATCCAATTCCTATGGTATCTGTCAGTTCTACGAGAGCAGCACCACGAATACCGAGTCTTCTGCAGGCTATACCCGTTCAAAACCGGTCGTTCAGAGCCCTTAGCATTGGGCCGGGTTGCGAGAGCCCAGGGCGCCGTTTGGCACCGATGGGGCTTAGGACTTAGAGTGTAAGGCTTTACACGGTCCAGGGTTTAGGGCTTTCATGCATTGGTAGGAAAAGACCGACCAAGCTAACAAGCAAAGCTGCAAAACAAGACCATGCTTGGGAGATGGCTCCGAAATCGGAAAACTAGCAAGCCTACCAAACTGAACGACTTGCCTTTCGACCAGGATTGGCAAAGAATCAAAGCAGGAGCTCTGCTCTGAACCGACGCCCCCTAGCATCCTTACGTCACTAAGCCCCTTTGCCCGGAAGCCTATTGTATCCTACAAACCGCTACAAGTAAGACTAAATCCTGTAACCCCCAACCCCTAACCCTGAATCCTGTATCGGCAGCCAAGGTTTGCAGCTTCTTTACAGCTTCTAAACTCTACACAGTCAGGATTCAATCAAGTAGTATAGGGACTCTCACAGTGGAAGGGCCAAAAAATCCTAGGGCCTTTGTGTTACTCTTCAGGTGCAACCATAAGGACTGCTAGCGGTCAAGGCTCGTAGCCGAAGAGATTTGGAGCATGGCCCTCCGGATCCTCAGTCGGAGCTTGGATTGACTTCCTGGCTTCTTTTGGACTTGGGAAGGCTTTTGGGCCAGGGTTCGGTTTAGGGTTTAGGGCTGAGGCCTAGAACTATAAGGTCTAAAGTTTAGGTTTAAGGGCTGGTGTTGAGGCTTTGGATGGCTTTGGAGTTTGGGGTTTCGGGCTCAGGGCTTAGATACAAGAGCCCAGAGATTTGGGTCAAACTTGTCCCCAGCGAGAGGCTGTCCTTCTTTGTCCTGCGTTGCCTCCTGCTTGTACAGCTTTGCTGTGCCTAGGGTTTACGGTTTCGGGTTTGGGTGTACCCCCTACCCAATTTCAGATATGACGATGGCTCGGCCATCCTATGATAAATCCATACTCAAGTAACCTTCTGCAGCACGTTGCCCACATTCAGGCGCAAGGTTTAAGGCATTTTTGAGGACCACGATTCACGAACCACAGAGACAAACCTCAACTCGTAGTCCTGACTACCCCGTACACAGCCGAAGATACAGTGGAACGACCTTCAACCCCTCGCTTACACGCTATTCCAATGTCCCCAGTTCCTAAACACTCTACTGAACCCTGAATCTTGAACCCTGAATCCTGAATCCGGATACCCTCAACCCTGAACGCTGCCAAGTCTTGGCATTCAACACCTGTGCCAAGGCTCATTTGCAAGGTCGGCAAGATCCGGAGCAGCCCTGCGACATTCTGTCTGAACTTGTCTAGGATTTCCTTTCATGAGTTGAGGGCTTGGACCCGGATTCAACGGTGGTTCGGTTAAGAGTTGAGGGTTTTGGATAAGAGTTCGGCTTAGGGTTCAGGGGTTCGGATTTCAGGGTTTGGGTGGGGCGAAAACTCTGGGGGCTCGACTCGGGGTCCTGCACTTGGAAGTTCATGGGTAGCTATAAATAGAGTAACTATACTTCTAACTTATAACTTAGAACCCATATTAGGGGACTTGCAACCCCAGTCAGAACCACCCACGAACCCCCAAGTAGGGTCGAGGGAGGCGCCCCAATTAATGGGTGAGGGATTTACAGGTGCTTGGATTTGCTTGGGGTCTTTGTTTTTCGGAAAGTCTTCGCAGGAAAACATGGTCTTATGGATAAATTAAGGTTCTGGGCAGCTCAGGGCACTACGAATGGGCACAGGTTACAACCGCACACTTCAAGTATTGTGCTATGATGTACACAATTTGGTATGTCTTGCCGGCTTGCAATGGCCATTTGGTGTGACTGTTTGCCATGTACGTTGCTATTGTGTTGCCTGCTGCTGCGCCCATGGGGCCTCTGGCGATCATGCAGATGCTGCCCCGCTTGGTGATGGTGCTCGCGATTGTACTGCATCATGCTGCTGCTGGTGCTGGTGCTGTGGCCACGGTCGTGAAGGCTCTGGTGGTCGTGCCTGTTCTGATGACAGCTGGGGCAGAAGCTGAACACACTGACTCCCTGCACATACGGATATCTGAGAAGGTCCAAACACACCTCAAGCAAAGCAGACATCTGCTACAAAGACAGAGAAACCCAATCTGCCGAGGTCAGGGGCGCAGTCAATGCATTTCATAGCGTCCATCCGAATACCCTCAAGCTTCGTTACCTGCAACCCTAACAAGCTTCCGAAGCCCAGTTTGCATGATGGGACAACTTTGAGTATGAAGAAATCTAGGCTTGAGGATACCTTGCTTCCCACTGTGGCTATTCCTCCACGAAGCTAACCCTGAACCCCAAACCTGACAGGGTCTCACGGCTGCTTTCCCTCCTCTAATTTCTCCTCTCCCCGGCCAGCGACCGGCCTATCGTACATGCCGTAAAGGAAGAGTGGCAGGTGGCAATGCACAAGGTTGTAACATTGCATCAGAAACGGATCCACCACCTCGGAGAGCAAGACAAGAAGCTGCAAGGTTTCTGCGATTGAGCCTGAAGGGTCTGTTATATGAGGGAAGGGTCTGTTATATGAGGGCCTGAAAAATATGATGGAATAAGGTTTCGGGGTATGGTATACTGTTATGCGTTAACTAGATGACGCACAGGTTCGGGATCTTGAGCTGCGGCGGTGTGAGACTGGGGACAGGGCCGTGAGAGTGGATACGAGTCATCCAACTCAATGGCAAAGACGAGTATCGTCTAATCCTCCGAGCCCCAAAGAGCTCATCCCTAACAGTACCCATCCCTTGAGCTTCCCTATACATGCTAGCCCGCACCTCAGACCCCGTAGTCGCAAGCCTCGATCCTGAAAGCTTTGGTGCCAGAGCCAAAATCCTAAGGTTTAGGGTCCCGTTCTGCACTTGGTCTTCGATCAAAGCGGCGTTGCTGCCCGAGAAGGCATTCCCAGCCGCGGCAAAAATCGTGATGAGAACATTAACCTGGCAAGCCCTAAACCCTAAACCCTAAACCCTAAACCGTGAAGCCTAAACCCTACAACCCTAGTCCCCAACCTGCTGGAGGAAACCTCTGCGTGCGGATCGAAGTGTTTGTAGTCTTCAGAAGTTTGCGCTTTAGGGTTCAGTGTAGGGCAGGGTTTAGGATGTTTAAGGTTTGTGTAAAAGTAGAGGCAGCATAGGCTCCCGATATCATCTCTCTACGACTGACCTTCCCCCAAAACAGTTAAACTGCCAGAGACATTTGAACGTGTCACTTCGCTTGAGTGGTAGGGGTGCCAAACTAATTAGAGCAAGCGAAAGTGTCAACTATCGCGATATCGGATTTTTTTAAAGGAGGCATGTCAAGCCAAGCACAGATTCAACACTGCATAGCCCCAAATCAGAAACCTTACTAAACCCTACACCTATAAACCCTTTCAAACCCCTTCCCAACAGTTCCAGAGTGGCCTGGTTCTTGTAGAAGCTGTACAGGCAGACGATCGCATTTCTGCGGTATGCCTCGCGCCCATGGGCGAAAATAGACGGCTTCAGCAACCTCGGGCGGCGGTTCGGTAACTTCGACGGCTGCGTTCTAGAGCCCGTAGAAATGGGGCTTGTCCGAGTTTCAGAAGATTGCAAAAGATTTCAAACGGTGTTGTAGGGTTTTGGGGGCCGTATGCTTACACTATCGCTCGGGAGTACATGAGGGACTGCAAGAAAACGCTATCATTGCAGCGAGTTACTCCGACACCTGCGTCCGATGTTGCCTCATCGCCCGGAAGCCAACAAATCCCCACAACCCCATAAATATCCTTAACCCCAAACCCCAGACAGTTTACTTCGAGATCCAACAGCCTTCAACTGTCTGAATCCTCGTAGCCTGAGGGCTGTAGAAACTTCAAAAGGATGAACGATCGGGGACGTCATGGGGCAGTACGTAGTGACTTGAGGGGATTTCAGAACTTGCTTCCAAACTTCCTGGCATTGATGAGCTCTCTTGCAGCATTCTGCGTGTGTCTCAGGTCGCAACAAGTAGTGAGGTATGGCAGGGGGCTGCAAGCGGGGTAGACACCTACTAGTCCCTAGCTCTCTCTAGTACTAAGGATCCCTTGTGCCCTTCCACCCTTGAACCACCCTCGCTTAAGGACCCTACAAGGTATGGGTCTGGCCTTGCAGATTTCGGGTTAGGGTTTGGGGTTTGGGGTTTGGGGTTTAGAGTTTAGGGTCCTCGATCTTGGGAGTTCCTAGGGCTGGGGGTCTCGTGGTCGAGGGCCCACGAGGTCTTTCTGAAGACATCGAGGCTGCAGGCAGGTGTGCCCCATGCCAACATGACAGAAGCCCTGGGAAACTGGCCCAAAAGCAAACAAGCACCCTAAACCTAAACCCTCAATCCCTTGAACCCTGAACGCGAAAAGCCTGTGCTGCTTGTCAAAAGGCCGAAACTCGGGCAGAGCGAAGTCGGCGGCGTAGGCTGCTTGCGCGCCTTCCTGGAGTCCACAAAAGACGGACCGAAAAGGCATGGCTGGTCTGCTTGCTTCGAGTCGAGATCTCAGACGCGACGAGACAACACGAAACCCGAAACTCCTAAACCCACAAAGCCTGAAAGCACTCACCACCAAGCCCTAAACCCTAAACTCGAAGACCTCAAGCCCTACCCTCCACCCCACAACCGTGGACACGGTGATAAAGACTTTCAACCCCGAAACCCTGAAACAGCGCACAACTCTGCCTTCCCGGAAAGGCCAACACCCACGTGCGCAGCAACGATCATGGACACATCGTTGGCCTAAGCGTCGTTACTAGGCTCGGTGGTTTCGGGTGTCCTGGACCGTACGTATACTACTGTTATCATCAGCAAAAACAAACGTAGTGTTACTATTGCTATCACAAATATTCTTCAACAAATTGATTTAGGCTTATTATTCTTAATACTATGAATAGACCTGTCTAGATGTCAGGTCTATTGGATGGCCTTCTTCAGGGTGGAAGGTTATAGGGCAAAAGGGTGAAAGTTACATCCTTCGCCAGAGTCTGAAGGCCGCGCCTTGAACCTTGACCCGCACAAGTCTTGAGGCTGAACTCCAGCCAAAGATCCCCACATCAGTAGCCTCAAACCCTGCAAACAAAGGAACAACCCTAAACCCTAAACCCTAAACTAAACCCTAAAATCCCAAACCCTACTATGCCCAGCAAGAGAAACAACAGCAAACACATCGAGAATGATGTCGCCTTGGGAATTCAGAACTGGGAGCTGGAATTAGTGGAACCCGTGGGGATTTGATAAGGTCCCTTTGAAGAGAGCTGGAAGTAGCGTTAAGAAAGGTTCCCTTTAAGGGGTGGTCTCCGTGATGCCACCTAGGAAGAACGGTTGCTTCGACTGCAGTAGCAGTTGAACGACTTTGTCGGAGGATACATTTGGAAGCAAGCATCATGCACGGCACTGATCAGCACCTTAAACCCGGTGAATCTAGGAGTCAGAAGAATTCGTGATAGTGCACGCTGGTGCGCGCAACCCCTACAAGTCAGAACCCCCACCCCCCCCCCCGCCCCCGCGCTCTGCCACTGATGATCGTCCTCCTCCAGCATCCTAAAGACTGGGACTGCCAGACTTTGAACCAAGGCCGCTGACCCCAAACTCTCCGAATGCTTCATCAAACGTGTCGGTCGTAGGCTCCTCAACGTCAAACTCGAAACCCCGAACCCTAAACCCCGAGAACCTGACTTACACCCTGCACTCTTATTTAAAAATATGCCTTTGGCCCTGGAGGCTCGACCTTGAAGCATTGAAGCCTAAAGCCTCAACCCACTGGCGTCACCCTCCTTCAGAATAATATTTCATAATATAGTCATATTAGGACCTTAATAGTAGCCCTATTATTATAGACTCTTACGGTATTCAAGCTGGCAAGTTGCGCCATCACCAATTGAGAGCGTCACAGACGATTTGTCCAAAGATTTGACCTTTCTACGGGCCCTTAAGGGCATAAGCTTCTGCACGCGTTTTGTCAGGATGAACAGAATGTCAAGCTTCCGGGAAGGTAGGGCTGCCCCTCACAGCAGACCACGCAAAATGAGGGGTCTTGGTGTTTGGGGTTCGAGGAAGGACAGGGGACAAGTATTCCAGGCTGGGCCATGGGTGTGACCCTCAGTCATATGGCTCTTGCAGATCGACGACACTTTGTGCGTAATAGACACACAGTCTCTGTGTAGAAGTACAGCCCCCATGGATGTGATTCCCAGAAAGGGATGTCTTCGAGTGTAGGGTTACGAGCACGGAAGGTCAATGAATCCACAGACATTCGTGGACCCGTTTACGATTCCTGCCCTCTGCCAGATCACAGAAATTTGATCCCCGGGCGTGCTTTGCAAAACAATAGCACTGCGGCTCCTACCGGGTTACTGCCCTTACGCGCCCTTAGAACAATAAATCAAAGCAGTGTTGTAGATCATCCTTGGGGTTTTAGGATAACGAACTACAGACTTCCGAAAGGTCCTAAACCCTAAACCCTTCCTATTAGGCCTATAAACCCTAAACCCTGAAAGCACCGAAGTACACAAACCTCTCTGCAACTCAGCTTCGAGGTCGACAACATCCGCTTTCTGCTTCGGCGAGACGCGGCAGCAGATCACGGAACTGCGAGAATCCCGGGGCTCGGATTTACTACGATACTCGGAGGTTCATGGGTAGTTAAAAGTGGAGTTTTAAGTAAGGTAACTATAATATAACTAACATATTATATTGGGGGACTTGTAACCCTACTTCTAATTACCCATGACCCTCCAAGTAGAGATTTCAGTTTAGGTAAACTTTAAGTGAACCCGCGATAGTCCGAACCTAGATCAAGCAAGATTAGTGCAGGGACCCCTTATACTTTACCTTAACGGCATGAGGACACAACTGTCTGGCTTCTACCATAGGCTTCTTGGGGTTAATTGAGGGTGTTGGGGTTGCAAGGCATTTGCGGATAAAGATAGAGGTTCGAGATTTCACGCCGAAGCAAAATGCTCGGGTTTCAGGTTGAGGTGACCGATACATGGTTCGTTCACCCCACGCAAGTCGGTTGAGCTGCTCAATGGATTTGGCTTCTAAGGTTTACCTACTTGTCGGGTATCATGGGGAACTAAAGGTTAACCTTTTTGGTCATATAGGGATTATAAGGGACTATACTACCCAAAAAAGGTTGAAGGCTACCTACTCGACTACTAGGTTTATGAGTTGGGCTTAGGTTCAAGTTCTGACAGGTGAGGGATTTGGAACTTCCGTCGTTGCCGCCTGCTGAGGATGTCGGGTGCACAGTCGTGTCTTGCGGGCATGCGAAAGGATATCCACTCCCCTGAGCTCCGAAGTCACAAATAAGAAATAGAAACCTGCCACATCACCCCAGAACAGTGTTCCGGGGTACATTGTAGTATAGCCTTATTCGGACTAGCGTGTAAGTGGGGCGATGAAGACACTCGAAAGCTCGCAAGCCCTCAAGTTCACTGCTCTAGGGACTGGGTATCTGTAGGGCTGTGAGGGTTTAGAATTTCAGTTTAGGGTCTTTTGGGGTTCGTGATTTGGGGTATCGGGCTTCGTGTGCAGGATTTAGACTGTAGACTATTAGCTAGGGCTTCGGGATGAAGCTTTGTGACGCAGTAGCTGTCCGGCTTGGGGCTTGAAATGTACCCGAAAATTAGTAGTAACAGCAGGACTTCCCAGCATGTGTATAGTATGTCAATCCCAAACCAGAACTTTCGGGATCTGATTGAGGCTCCTTCCATCAGGCTGCTTCCATGAGGAAAGCCTGAGCCCGGCAGCCCGAAGCCCTTTCTCTAAAACTCAAATCCCGGGTGGGGGCCTGCAGCGTTGCCCAACCTCAGTGCACAGTTAAGCCGGACTGTGGTTGTCTCTCCTGTGTTTTGCATTTTCTTTCTTTCTGTCTTTCTTCCTCTCTCTCTCTCTCTCTCTCTCTCTCTGTTTCTCTCTCTCCTCTCGCCGATATTCCAACTTGGACCCTATACCATAACTCCCACCGCATCATAGCTGGTTATGGCCCCGTACTTGAGAATAACTAAATAAGGTTCTGAGGTCTATTGGAATATATATACATATATATATATATTAAAAAAAGGAACCCTAAGGAAGAGTCTTATTTCTTCAGGCTCCTCTATTCGATACGAACCCTAAACCGGCGTCCTTGGACCCTAAACCCGAATGCCCTGGCCCCGGACTCTAAAGTAGGGACCTAAATAACCGGTTTAGGGTTTAGGGTTTAGGGATGTATGTAAGGAAGGGGAAATCTGATTAGGGCTAAGAGAAAAGATTCTGCAGGGTCCAGGTAAGCCAAAGGTTCCGAAAAGCTGTTGATCTCGGTGCTTTCTGCGTTCAAGAAACCAGGGAGAAAAAGGCATACACCGTCATTTCATGATGGTTCCTTTCAGGAAGAGGTCCCAGCAGATTACTAAAGTATGGTATGCAGGGCAAGACCCTTTCAGCAATCCGTAGAGGTTTCATGATTCTTACTACTGTTAAATTACGATTCTGACGATTCTCGGACCAGTCGCATTAGTATTATCCTCCTCTTATTGCTATCATGTCTTGTACTCTTACCTATCAAAAACAGAAAAGTGTCCCTCAAGAGGACCGAAGCAAGGCACTTTGAAGAGAAGCCTTACTATTATTCTTACTATTGCTATTGATAGTAGTATTGTCACTAGTAAGATCACCCTATACCAAAACCCTGTTAACCCCTAAAGCCTATAACCCCAAACCCTACATTTTTCGCCTTTCTTTAACCAACTCGAAACCCAAACCAGGGCGCTTTGAAGAGAAGTCTTACTATTATTATTTTGGACTAGCAAGAGCACCAAACCAGGGCACTTTGAAGAGAAGTTCTCGGTCCTCTTCGGTCTCGAGAGCTTCCGCCAGACGGGAGCCTAGCCAGGCCCGCGGCATCTGGAGATTCGAGTTCTTCGGTTTAGGGTTTAGGGTTCAGGGTTTAGAGGTTTAGAGGTTTCGGATTAGGGTTTAGAGTTTGTGAATGCGGTTTAAAATCTGGGGCTTAGGTTTTATCAGGGTTTGGGTATAGGGTTGACAGGGTTCTGGGTAGCTTTGTGGCAAGTGAAACAAGAACTCTTTGCTGGAAGCCCAAACCCCACCGACGTGCCTGCGATGGTCAGGGCCGGCCGGTCAGCTGTCAAGGCTTCAGTCAGGACTTCGAAAAGCCTGAGAAGTTCAATATTGCAGGAATTGTGTACAGCGAGGAGCCTCAGAAGTTCAATATATCGGAAATTGTGTACAATGAGGATTTAGGATTTAGGGGATTAGGGTGAGCTCATTGAGGTCGGGGTTTCGAGTGGAAGGTAATTCGGAGCCTTGAGAATTAAAACACGTTGTTGTGTTGTTTTCCTTTTTAATTGGGAAGGGAGGGGTATACTAGGAATACTCGCCTCTACCTGAATACAAGGAACTCTCATCAAGGCCGACAGTTTAGGGACAGAGGAATATCTGCAAAGCTCATAAAACCTAAGCCAGTGGCTTCATGGATTGAGGGTTCAATGTAGGGCCGGGCTTTTACTGCGAAGCCCACGAACCCAATGTTTTGTTGCCTTAGTCTCAATGCCCTAAACCAAGACGCCCTAAATAAATCTAAAGCGGTATTAACCCTAAACGCTCCATGTAAACACCAACAGCCCTATAAGCCCAAAAGATCAAAATCTCCTAAACGCTAAACACCTAGCCCCAGGCCCCTCTACCGTGACTACCCCAAGACTGACATATCCTAAACCCTACCTGGACCACCCAAGTATGTAATTAGAATACTGTTATAGGTTGCTTTTGGGGGTTGAGGTAAACACTTGAGGGCCCTCGTCCTACAAGGGCGAGACACGGCTGGTCGGAGTCCCCGTCGAGGACGTAATTATCCATATCTTCGGTCAGCAGTTGGCCTGAGCTTACTTCCAGGGCTTAGGTAAAGTTTACCCTATCCCTCCAGGGACCTTGTTATGGGGTCCTTAAGGGGTCTAGGGCCCTAACTATGAGGTCCTTGGAGGGATAGGGTTTGGGCCTGGGGTTTGGGGATCATGGGACTTCAAAAAGGGGGTTCTAGAAACGGTGACAAAAGCTTTTAACTATAAGAGCTCCTATACATAGAAAACGAAACCCAGCATCCGAAAGTTTCTGTATTTCCATGGGGGGTGGTGGACCAAGAGTTCGCTTTAAGTCTTCTTAATCTGGATGGCGACCTGAGCTGGCACTGCTACTGATTCTACGAAGTACACATGACGACGAGGATCTAAGACCACAACGACGACGACCACTACATCAACTACTACTTCTTCCTCTAGTCGTACAAGAAGGAGGGCAGCCCACCCTAAACCCTAAACCCTAAACCCCTAAACCCTAAACCCCTAAACCCTAAACCGTTTAGCCTGGCCTTTTTTCCAGCACCTCCCCAAACTTCGGATCCGGACCAGGGCTCGACAGCCCAGACGCCCTACCATAGGGGCCTGAATAATTAAAATAGGGTGTTGGGGCCCTTTATACTATAAATATCTTAAGGAACCTTTAAAATAGTATTGGTAATTCTTTAGGCCCTTTATTCAGAAGCCTAAGCCAAGAGGCATGACATGGCAATGGAGATCGCCGTGTCCACCTTATCGCCGGTGAGCACCCAGACCTTTTGCTGTTGATCTTCGCAGGCGCAGACAGTGATAACAAAGCTCATATTGGTAAGACTCCGGTAGCGAGCAACGCAACAACGATCCTTCTCCTTTTTCCTTTCCTCCTCCTCGTCCTCCTTGTGCTGCGACGGCGCATGCTACTACTGTCCACCACTGACCGCCACGGCCAATGACCACCACCCGAATCCCTAAACCCCCTCCACTCGGAACCTTAACCCATACAGCCCTAACCCCTAAACCCCCCACCCAGGCCATCCTCCGACTCGATCTACCCAAAAGGTCTCCGTCCTAAACACTAAACAAAACCCTGAAACCCAAAACCCCAAACCCTAAGACGGAGTTCGGCAAAGAGACGCGGATACCCGCAGCTCGTAGCCTGCAACAAACTCTCGGTGCATCTCTCTGCAGTGGTAGCCGGGTTCATTCTGCCGGGTCTGTTTGGGCTGAGTCTTCTCTGGGTCGGGTTGGCAGCACCTCATCTTAAGCAGACTTAGACAGCATTTTTCTTCCATCTCTTGGATACTGTACAGGGTCTGGGTTCCGAAAAATCAGAAGCACCTTAGCGAACCTGCCCACCCTAGCTCGTGGTGTCGATATCGCTATTTGTAGTCTTCTTCGGCTGCAGGGTTAGTATCTGGTGCCTGGTTTGGAAGGAATGGTTCTTTCAAGCACTGAGTTATCCACACGAGCGTTTCCGCCGAGCCACTGCGCAATCGTATCTGCGACCTGGTCCTGCAAGCGGTCCTCTGCGGGCTTGGGTTTTCGGCCTGCGTGCCTCAAGCTGCAAGCCTAAGCCCTAAACCCTAAACCCAAACCACAGATCACTAGAGTCTGAGGCTCCGAAAACCCCGAACCCTCGGCCCGAGGTCCTCAATGGCAGTGGCGCCCAGAAGCTTCAAAGGATGCTTCCTGAGAACAGGTCATTATGTGTCTAATGGTATTTGTAGATCTAGCCTCTGACTCTAGAGGATGGAATTGAAAGCAGCTCGAGAAAGCGAAACGAGGCCTGAAGCCGCTAGGTCAAGTGGCATGTGAACACCTGACCGGGTCCTAGCTCAAGGCTGCAGGACATATGCGTGATTCGGTAGGTACCTGCCAAAGACCATAACGGAACTGACAAAACACACCATTCGCCATCTAAGCAGATCAACCCTTAGAAACGAAACCCCAAGCGGTTCAGTCCATACACCATAAACGACCTAAGCTCCAAACCCTAACACAACACACATGCTACAAAACTAAACTTAAACAACAGCAGCCAGCTGAAAGAAATGCCCCAGATCGGTAAGGCCGAGAAGAGGAGAGCAACCACCGCTAGGAAACAATAAGGACCCCTTGACTTGATCATTTCGGGTAGGTCTTGGGGCCTTTTCGGCCTCCGTAGGGTAAGGATATCGGGTGGTCATTTTTTTTTTGGTGTTTAGGGTTTCAGGCTTCTTTTCAACTTGTCAACAGGCGTTTACGGGTGTAGAGTTTACGGTTTAGCAACGCTTCCAGCTTTGCTGCTCGGGCTTGTGTGCGACCTTACCAAAACAATAGGGTCTGTGGTATACTGGCTTTCTGAGACTACGAGGGTCTGAGGGATGTGTAGCATTGTGTTTAGTTTTGGTTGTGCGGGGAAGGCTGAGAGTCTACGACGGATTAAGGTTTATCGGGTGTCCCTCGGATGGTAGGGTCCCCGACAGAGCTCATAAGCAGGGGATTCGGGTTTGGGGTTTCGGGACCCTAAACCCTTAACGACCCTTGTCGCAAAATCTTTCGGGTCTTGCTTTGCTTCAAGAAACGTTTCCAGCTCCACGACCAACTCGTGAATTTTGTCGGCCTTGTCCTCCATAAAGCTCGGATCTAGGGTGTAATACAGGATTTGGGGTTTAGGGTGTGAAAGTAACAGGTATCTTAATCCTGATAGTCTTGATTTTGTTGGCTGGCCACCGCATCTCCGCCCTTTATGCTCTGCTCGCCCCCTGTAGCGACAGACCCGTACCTGAGAGAAACAGCAGCCGCGACAAGTCGGTCACTGCTACAGTAAGCCAGATTCTAACTAGCTTACCGATGCTATTCTCACTACTAGCAGACCCACACAATGATAGTCGTAATGATAGCAGCAAACATGAAAATGAAGCTGATGATGATGGTGATGGTGGTGGATGTAGAAACGGCAGCCACGATGATGGTCAGAGTAGTTGCACGCTGTGTTCTATCCCCAAATGTCAAGCCTTCAATCACTCGAGTCGAGACCCTGCCCCCTCAAGCCTAAACCCCCAAAGCCCAAACATCACAGGTCCTGAACTCTACGACACAAACCAATATCATTTCCGAAACAATAAAGAACCCTTGAAGCTCTCCACTCTGAACCGTACGCCCTACCAGCCCTAAAAACCGAGTGTCATAAAGCTGAGAGCCCTTAAATTCTAAAGCACGCAAGCCGCTTGTAAGTCTTCAAATTTAGCCCTACACAGCCTAAACCCTTAAACCCTACCTTCACCCGCATGTTGTTCAATGGTGCGGTCCTCGGTGACTAAAGCTTTGGCCACCTCGTAGCGCTTGTGCCACTCTGCATGCCTTAGCATTGTCTGCTATAAGGCATAGGTCCCCGTCGTTTACTGGATTACGGCTTAGGGCTTTGACGCGTCTTGTTGTCGGATTGTGGGGAACGGAAAGAGAGTTGAGGGGGTTGGACTTAGATTTAGGGGTTTGGGCTTGGGTTTAGTCAGACTAGTCCGCATCCCACAGCACTTCATCCAAAATGAAATCAAAAGCTGGAAAACAGAAACAAAGAAACCAGCGTCCCAAGCCGAAAAGGGCTGGAAGGTTTGGGGATTGAGAGGTTTACGAAGAGGGAACCTCAACACTTAGAAAAGGGATAATCTTGCTCTGGTTCGACCCCTTGTTTATCAAAGGGTTTCGGGAGCTATCTAAGGGATCGGAAAGTCTCTTGAGATTGGCATATCGATGCAGACACCGGTGCTCGTCTTCACTGACGACGCGCTGCGCAAGGCACAGCGTCCGCAGTCCTGCGTGTTTGCGGTGGGCTTAGGATCACTCAGGTTCAGGCGTTTAGGGCTTAGGCGTGGTTAAGTGTGTAGGATTCATGGATTCAGGCTTCAAGTTATCTCATGTACTGCCTGAACCTTCACAGGCCTATAGAGGACTTCTCCCTCTCGCACAGAAAAAAAAGGGGCGGACCGAAGAAGAGAGTCGCTGAGGTAGTTTTGTCTGATGGGGCGAAGTTTTCTTTTTGAAAGCACTAGAAAGTTTGAGGGATCTGTGGAGTTTCAGCATTCCCTATGTGCTACGACACTAAATACCTGCTCTGCCTGGTGGCTCAGAAACAACAAAGTCTCTGTGAAAAGGCATCCCACCCAAACCCTAAAGACTGAACCCATAAAGGCTTAGAACCCTGAGCCCTAAACCCGAAACCCTCCTAGCTGCATCCGTATAACATACAAACTCCCCAGTCAGGGAGGGCACTTAAGGCACCGGCCCCGGCTCAAGCTTTTAGGCTGAAGCCTATAGACCCCAGCACCCTAAAACCTCAAGTTGGGTTTGGGGTTCAAGGCTCAGGGGAGGTGTTTTTCGAATGTCTGCGAAGGTTCAGGGATTAGGGCCGAAGACCCCAAGGCCCCCAACTCTAAACGCCCCAGCACGCCCAGGACCTAGCTTCTCTTGTCAGTCCTAACATGTCCTCACCATAAACCTCGCTAGTCCACAGACTGTCGCTAAGCTGAGACCCTAATGGATTTTATATTTAAGATGAGGCTGAAACTAACCCCTGCACCCAAAACACTAACCCCTGTAACCCCTAAACCCCGAACCCCAAACCTCAAAACCCCGAAACCCCTAAACCCTAACCCCGAAACCCCTAAACCCATAAACCCTTAACATGTCTCAACCCCCTAAACCCCCCCAAGACTCAAAGCAAAGGCGGACATCCGGATGCCTTGCCGCGCGAAGATCGTCAAATGCTCTTCACAGAGGCGTCTTTCGGAGGAGAGCCTCTCAATTTCGGCCCTGAAGCCCTTTGGGTTTCGGGATTATAAGGGTTTATGGGTTTAGGGGTTGAGAGGTTTAGGGTTTAGGGCTTCAAGCTTTCAAAATGAGGCTCAAAGGTTTGGGGTTTTCGGGGGTTTCATCGGGTTTGGTGTGAAGTTCTATAACGTTCATGAAGGCGCTTTATGTCGGGGATTTTGGCATAGGGCTTGGTGTTCAGCGGACGCGTTTTCGACTCGGCTTTAGCGCGTCAGGGACTCATGGTTTGTGGACTTAGAGCTTTAAACTTTAGGGTCTCGCCCCGAAACCTAGAAACCGAATCTTCGAGGTCTATACCAGCATTTTGCCCCATCTCCGCGCCTCTACGCAATTACCCCAAACCTACACCAGCAACAAAGCCCCTATCGCAAACGAGCAAAACCAACAAATGTTTAAAGCAACTCATCCAGCGTGTTAGCATAAACTCTCAACCTCTGTTGGCTCTGGCCGGGTAACTCGGCTTCTGCCATGAACGGGAGGACGCTGCTGTCCGCTCCTTTGGTATACCTTGGTCGCTACATTGCTTCAGTGCCACTCTGTTTGCTGCCTGACTGCTGTTTGCTTCCTTGTTTTTATTGTACGTATGTATGTATGTATGTATATATGTATGTATGTATGTATGTATGTATGTATGCAATTGTGCATGTATGTATGTACATATACATGTGTGTATATATATATATATATATATATATATATAGATGTGTGTGTATACATATGTGTATATATGTATACATATATATATATATATACACATGTGTGTATAGTTTGCATGTATGCTTGTTAGCTTGTTTGTGTTTGTCTTGCGTGTGTGATTTCTTGTTAGTTTGCTTGCTGGCTTATTTGCGTTTTGATAGTTTGGGAGATTGTGTGCTTGTGTTCGTGTGTCTCTCTGTGCGTGTGATGTGTGCGGACGATTGAAGTGTATGCTTGCTTTTGTGTGCTAGCTGCTAGCTTGCATGTGTGTGTGTGTGTGTGGTTGCCATTGTTGTGGTTGTGGTTGTAGTCGTTGTGGCTGTGGCATGTTGTGGCGGTGGCTGTGGCTGTAAAAATGCTTGTTTTTATGGTTGTGTGTGTGTGTGTGCGCGTGCTGTGCGTCTGTCTCTGTGTGTCTCTGTGTCTGTGTGTGTGTGTGTGTGTATATATGTGTGTGTGTGTGTGTGTGTCGGTCTGCGTCCGTCTGTGCCTGTCTGACCGTCTGTCCGTCGGTCCGTCCGTCTGTCCGTCTGTCGGTCGGTCTGTCTGACTGTCTGTCTATGTCTATGTCGGTTTGAACATGTTCTAGGCTTTCGTTGAGTCGTACAAAGCATGAAAGGTACATTGGGTCCTTCTCCAGTATAGGTGACCAGGAGTGGCTATGACACGAACTCTTAAGCTGTCAACCTACATAGACACGCCCTGCCCGTGAATATCCACTCCATCTAAAACCCGAAGCCGATACAGTGCCGCGCTCTTCCATCGTGCTCGTTACCCTCTCTACGACAGGGACGTGCGAGACGCCTTGCCGATCAAAACAGGTTTCGGGTGCTCGAGCTATTGTGCCGGCTGCTGTCGTCTATGCTATTGACGGTCGGTAGTCGTTCGCAAGTCTGGCGGACAAACATACGCCGAGGCCGCAAACATCTCATAGTCTCGCACGAACCGTTCTGCGCTGGTGGTGTTTCGATGACCAGCACTTCACTTAAGCCAGAGATGACATCTCGATCGGTTCATGAGGACACTAATGCCGCAGTCAAGGCACAGCATGATCTGGCCGTTTGGCAGTCGAACCACCACAGACATCCGCTTCCGGTTGTTGTCGAACTCGCACACCTGAACTCTAAACCCTAAACCATGATGTTGATCCCCACTTGGTTCCCTCGAATGCAACACAAGAACCTCACCCTCGTTACCATCATCGTCAGTATTGTCATCACCATGACCAGCATCATCATCATCGCTACTGTCCTGACCATCACCAGCACCATCAACAGGTTGCAAAGCATGAACCGAACCTCTCGTCGCTGCCCAACGGGGTAGTAAAGCTCCCGACTCTGTTTGGGCTATAACAGGAGCCTTGATAATTACCTATACTTCTTGGCGGTTCCTTACTATAAGAAACGAAATCTTCTTCTGATTATTAAGGCCCCTATATTACATGACGTGTCCAAGAACGCGTCTTCCGACCCACATCTTCGCCTGGCTACCGCAAGCATCCCGATCCGGATCTTGCACACCACAAGAGCGACTGGAAATTGCCAGGAGCAATTACAGTAGAAGCCAGAAAGTTGGAATATCATTATGATAATCCCTTTAAGGTAAATTATAGGGGATCCTGCCATTATTCTATATTCCAACTTTCTGGAGTTCCCTTTAATTGACTATTGAGCTATATCAAACTGTGCCAGTATAAGATGCTGTGGGTGGCTGTTGCCGCCTGTGAAAGTGCTGATACACAGGAATCGTGGTAGTGATAGTCGGGCTCCATCCTAAGATGGTGGAGCCCTGCTACGAGAACCTGGGCCGAGAAGTCTGCCTGCCATCCGAGATGCATCAAGAAGCTGAGCCTTCAGAAGCTTACCTGTCCAGGGCTTTAGGGCTTGGGTAACATCTTGCGTGCACGATAGCTTGCAACAGCTTGGAATTGAGCCGTAATCTCGGACACTCGAAGGCTGTCATAAACAAGCAAGAAAGAATGGCTTGCGGGGTGCCACAAAGGCTTCACACACATGTAAGTGCAAACATTTCCATCTATAGGTGGGTAGTGCCAAGCTCTTGTGATGCAGCACTCCGACATGCGTGCATGCTTAAATTTACCTCTACTGTACAGAGTCTAGATGAACCAGCTAACCACTGCGGCGGCGCACGATGCTTCACCACACCAGAAGCATGCTAGCCTCCCCTTCGCAGCTGTGCCGACTTGGACCGCGGCGGTGCGCGCCCTGCTTGGTGGACGCACCAGTGGGCGCATTAGCGCAGAAGCCCCACTGTCATACAAGCTGGTGCCGAGTTTGCGTTGGCCTCAGTGCGTACCCTATGCCAAGCAAGTTGAAATCGGCAAGCTGTGCCTCAACACCCGGCCAACGGTGTCGCAGGGAATCCCTTTCAAGGCACCGGATATCCCTGTGGGTAAGGCGTATCACCAATAACGAGACCCCACATGCCAAACAGTCTGAGCGCAGTCGGAAATACACATACATGCCATTAGCATGCTGGAGTTCATGGCATGGCATTCAAACGCATGCAATCGCTTCAGCTCGTGATGGCCTCCCCTTCGCAGCTGTGTCGACTCCTGGCGGGCGCACCGCCGGGCACCGCCTCGCCCGTGCGCTGGATGGACGCACCAGTGGGCGCATTAGCGCAAAAGCCCCACTGTCATACAACCTGGTGCGGAGGTTGCGTTGGCCCCAATGCGTACCACATGCCAAGCACGCATCGGCAAGCTGTGCCCCAACACCTGGCCAACGGCGTTGCTGGGAATCGCAAGGCACCGGACTTCCCTCTGGGTAAGGCATACCAGCAAGTGCAAGACCGCACACAGGGTCCAACAAGCTGAACACAGTCGGAAAGCAACACACGTTGCTATCCCTTTGCACTCAATATCGCCACCAATGAGTGCATCAATAGCTGACACGGAATCGATGCTCGACCTCCGGCAGAATCTTGAGTGTATTAAATATAGGTTTGTCCCGTCTGACATACAACCTGGTGCCGTCGATCTGTACCATAAGCAAAGCAAGCATCAGCAAGTTGCGCAGCCAACAGTGTCGCAGAAACCCATCTCAATTCACCGGATATACCTTCTGGGGTAAGGCTTCCCACCAACTAGAACACGGCATGCAGAGTTCTAAACGTAGTCAGCGAGACATACAGAACCCTCGCAAGATGTGTTGGCCTCAATTAATGACTGGTACATGCCTTTACATCGACAGGCTGTGCCCCTGCCAAGAATGCCGCAGGAAATCCATCTTGAGGCACTGGAAACGACATCCGTTTGGAAAAGTCTTCCCAGCAGCTACCACGCAATATACTCCAAGCGAGAAAAGTCGTGGCCTCGCCGCATACTCCCAATTGCCCCGAAAATCATAAACCCCTTTAGACCTAAACCCAAACCAGACACTCGAAAAGCCTGCGCAGTTGGAAGTCTATTCTGAGTCAGCTGCTTCGCCTTGCAGCTACACAAGCGGTAGATGACTCAGAAAATTCAACTCGTCGTATGAGTCAAATAGTGGATAATACATGAATATTGCTCCTGCTAATGCTCCGGCTCCTGTTCGTCGCTATAGCTACAAATGCAGGCCTTGCTTTTCGTGGCCTTGCATTCAAAAGGCATGCAATCCTTCAGCTCCTGCTGGCCTCTCCTTCCCAGCTGTGCCGACTCCTGGCGGGCGCACCGCCCTTGCGCCCTTAGTGGACGCACCAGGGGGCGCATTAGCGCAGAAGCCCCACTGTCATACATGGTGCCGAGGTTGCGTTGGCAAGCTGTGCCTCGACACCCGACCAACGGCACCGCTGGGAATCCCTTCTAAAGGCACGGGATATCCCTGAGTAAGGCTTACCAGCAGTGTCAACACAACATGCACCAACCAATCTGAACTGACTCGGGCAACAGTAAATGAATATGTATGCGTTTACGGTGGGTGGGTATGTAGGTAGTTAGGTAGGTCAGTCGGTGGGTAGGTAGGTACGTAAGCAGGCAGGCAGCCAGGCAGGTTGTGAGGTCATAAAGGTAGACGGAGGCAAACAGATAGATTGATAGGCTTTAGAATGCCAAAGGAATAGCATGTAGCACCAATCATAGCAGGTACCTATTGGCGAAACCAAACCCTACCCCCTCAACCCGTAAAGCTCGAATCCCTAAAGACCGAGTCCTGAAGCCCTAAGAACCTTGGACCTTCAAGACATAAATCCTAAACCTCGAATCTAGACGCCCTGCTATCCCTAAGCTCCCAAACCCGATATCTGAAACCCTCATTCATCCCTACCTAGACCCCCCCAACTACCCTCTAAGATACTTCCCATAAGGACTCTATTAAAGGGTGCTGGGGGCGGTTCTATGGTAGACCCTACCAACAGGCCCCGAAGTAGTTACCTTGTAGGATTCTATATATGAACCCCCAACCAGGAACTACTTTGCGGCCTTAGGGTAATCCCTCGAGGTGGGGCTGCCTTCCTCCGGACACCAGCCGGTAAGCTGCGCAAGGGGTTTGGCAGCGGCTCCTCGTGGTAGGACCTCTAGGATGCCCTCCGGAGAGAGTCGGAGGAACCTCGCGCTTGGGGTTTGGGTTCGGGGTTCAGGGTTACGGGTTTAGGGCTATTGAGTTTCGGGTTTGAATTTGAGGTTTAGGGTTTGGGATTCAAGGTTTTTGGTTCAGGATTTAGGAGAAACATTGGAGGACTGCCTAAAAACCCCTGTTCTGATTCTTAAGGCTTTAAGGCCTCTTACACCATGAGGGTTCGAGAAGGGTGTCACAAACCTTTACAAGCAAATATTTTCAGGAGGAACCTCGGAAGGCTGTGTTTGTCGGATTTCGGGGTTTGGGGGTGTGAGGCTTGTGCTATGTGTTTTTGGAACCTCATCCGAGGAGAGGGCGTTCGGTCCCTTCTTTGGCTTCCGGCATGTCTAGTCGGGTTTGGGCTTCAGTGTGTTTGTCAGGTTGTGGCTTCTGGAGCTGAGCTTGTGATGTTTGGGAATTAAACTTGGTTTGTTCTTGTTTTAGGGGCCCTTTTTCAGTCTGCACTTCGCGTCTTGAAAGCCCCTTGGGTTTCCAAGTTTAGGGTTTAGGGGTTCCGGCCCGACAAGAAGCTGCTACATAAGAAGCCTCTGGGGGTAGCACGGAAACCATGGCGCAGGATTTGTCTAGCTAGGTTCCTGAGTTTACTATAGCCCTTTTAGATAACAAGGGTGCCCTTTTTCCAACTATTATGAAAACAAAAAGGGCAAAAGGGCATTACTCAGACGGGCTTTATCGGGTTTGGCAAGGGCTCTAATTCAACAAGGAGGCCGCCTCCAAGTTCCCTCTCAAGCTGTCTTTCCCGACGGGGCTGTGACATGGAGTCTCGGGCCCACACTCTAAGCCGATCGCCCTCGCTGCGCAAACCTGGATCGAACTCGGGAGGTCCCACCCGAATCTGTTTTTGAGGGTTACAGGCCTCCTAGTTTAGAGTTGAGGGGTTTAGGGTGTACTTGTCTGAGAGATTCGACTATTTCGGACCAGTCAGTCAACGGCCAGAAGCCACGGCGGAGTGTCTGCGTTTCTACGGTGTTCAGTATCACCGAGATCATCCGCAGAAGAAGCAAGACCCAAATCCTTGCACCTGCAAGATCAGTATGTCGGGAGCGTGCAATGCAACACAAACCACCAACTAGTTTTAATGCTGCTACAGGTGTACCTGCAAAACCTAGAGCGAGTGTTCAAAGCAACTGCGAATGTTTCGCAGGCTGGACGGTAGTTTTGCCGAACAGCTGCAACCTAACATTCGCTCCCGGCGTTGCCAATGAACGACGGCGGCAACGAAACGATGAAAATCGCGAGAGATAGGAATGGTATGACGCCAGACAGTGATCGTGCGTCATGTTTCTACTCATGTCGTGAAACTGTAGCAATCGTCCACAGAGGTAGACTGGGGTTTGCTTGGTTCAGGGCTACTAGATATTCATAACTGCTGAAACAGGCTGTCCCATTTCTTGTGATAGGGCTGTGTGAAGTAAGACCGAGCACTGCTACACCGCAAACCTTCAACCCTCTAAGCGGTACCTACTTTCTGTTGTCAGCTCAGGAAGCTCTGTCCATCTGCCATGCTACACATGCCTAAGGCTCAAAGCCTCATGCGCGTGCAAAAGAATGCATATGTGTGTGTATCTATATATATATACACAGCATGTATAGCATGTATATTATATATGTAGTGAATGTACAGTACATATACATATATACATATAGAGATGCGTATGTATGCAAACAGATAGACAGCTAGATGGATAGCTAGCTGCAACACATATCCAGGCAGTGTAATATTGAGGGCGTTTGGGAGATCCGTGCTAACCTCTCAAGCCAGTCGAAAATCCTAAACCCTTAATCTTAAACCCTTACCCAGTCTGCCACCCTCCATGACACGTCCCAGGGGCCAGCGCGAGCTCATCCGGAGAAGATGCATTGTAGGGGGCCTCCCCGGCCGCACTGTCTGCCTGAAAGCACGGGACCAGCGCATGTGCTCGTGCATGTGGTGAGACGCAGGAGACGAACTTTGAAACATGTACAGAATTATATTGCTCGGAATTCAGCGCTTTGTCGTGTTCCCGTCTTGAGCAACATCTGGGAAAAGTGTGGACGGTGATTCTCCGATGATATCGATGCGCGAAGCAGCGCGGCGAGCTATTGCGACGCACATCTGCATTTTCCTAAACCTAAACGACCTAAACACCCTGAAATCCTGAGACCCTACACAAATCGAAGCCTCGCAATATCCCCTCGCACTCCGGAAGCCCCAACCACGAAACGCTCACATCGGGGCCTTAATAATGAGAACCGCAGTTTTGGGGTATAGATGCCCTGTGCCACGAGGCCCTTTGTGAGTTCGAAGCGGATTTTGGGCGGAGTTCCATTACACAGGGACTCTCTTGTTACTTGGAGGTTCATGGATAGTTATAAGTGGGGTTATAAGTCCCTAACATGTGCTATAATTAAGATATAGTTATAGTTACCCTACTTATAACTACCCATCAACCTCCAAGCATCTTTCTAGGGAGCCCCAAGGACAGGATATGACTTAGTACTCCGACCCTTATGTTGAAGCATCTGAGCTGCCGGTTCCACGGTGTGGCAAAGGGCATGGCCTGGGCTCAGAGAAGAGGTTTTAGGATTTAGGATTAAGTCTCGGGCCGTCTCTGGGTCAAGGTGATCGCTTGATTCCGCTCTTTCCTGCTGGCTGTCCTTTTCTCTAGCGGGGATCCTAAACAAAGCAGGTGCCGCAGCCACAGGAAGAGACTATTTACAGCAGCAAATCCCTGCGAGGGCTGGGTGCAACTAGTATACTTGGCCTTAAACGTCAACTCGACCCTGCATAAACCCCCTGAGCCCTCCCTAAACCCTAAACCCTTAAACCCTTAACCCTAGACCCCAAAACCCTTAACCCTTAAACCCCTAAGCCATCCTAAACCCCGAACCCTAGACCCTTAAACCCTTAAACCCTTAACCCTAGACCCCTAAACCCTCAAACCCTAAACCATCCTAAACCCCAAACTCCTCTTTCCCAAGGGGCAGAGGACGAAGGAGGCCATAGTGTCAGCGTGAGCACCGCTGCTTCGAAGATCGGAGAGCAAGGGGCCAGCGGGCAGGTTCACCTGAGGATTTAGGGTTCAGAGTTTAGAGTTAGGGCTCAGGGTTTAGGGCTCAGGGTTCAGGGTTCAGGGTTTAGAGTTAGGGCTCAGAGTTTAGGATTTTAGGGCTTAGGGTTTAAGGTTTAGTGTTCAGGCTTCAGGGTTCGGGGTTTAGGGTTGAGGGCGTAGGGTTCAGGGTTCACGCGGTTTAGCGTTCAGGGTTTCTGGTTCAGGCAAGTTCACCTGAGGATTTAGCATTTCATGGGGGGGGGCTTTGATCGTGTGAAATCAGCCTTTGGGGTATGCTACACTATACGCATAATCGGAACTTTAAGGACTAGTACCTGCTAAACCCCGGAGCCTGGAATAAAGCATTGGATCCTCAAATGTCTAAGAATCAGGCGAATGGGTCAAGAATTTTTGACGGGGTCAACTTTATGCGTAAATGCGTTGGCCGCCGATTCCGAGATTCAGAAAGGGCCCAAGGGCCCAAGGGCTTGCATGTTTGATTCAGAGTATTCAGAAAGCCCCAGGCACAGTCCGATAATCCATGGTGTTAGCTAGCAACCCAATGTGCGAACAACATCGATCCCGACCTTAGCCCCCAAACTTCTGAATCACGTCCCTCGGTATATCTTTCAGCCGCACACAAATCCCAACCTGCACCCCAAAGCTTCGAGCCCTCGGTGCTCCGTCATGCCTTTGTACATGGACTTTGTGCCCCTGGCCTCCTTGTACTGCCGGCTTGTCTGAGGGTCGAGTCAAGTGTGGTCGGCAGGCATGTGCTGATGTCTTGCAGTGAAGCCTGTTTGCAAGTGAGATTTTGGGCTTGAGAAAGCTTTTTGAGTGGGGCTTTGGCCATGGATGCTTCGAAGCCTGAAGCAGTGGAGGACTCCCAGTCTGGGTCGAAAGATGATTCGCTTTCAGGGCTTGCATGCTTGTGGGACAACAATCCGGAAGTGAGGCAGCGAATGCGAAAGAAGTTCAACCTGTTGGTTCATTACGATCCCAAACTTCAGAAGAAGCTCAATGTAAAGGTGGAGAAGACCGCACACAATGTTCGAACGAATGCTGCCGTGTTGGGACCTGTTCTGAAGATTATGAGGCTGACGAATGGCCTTCCGGCTATAGACAAACTCATGGTGCAGGTCGCGGATGTGTTCGGGCGCTTTTCCATGCCAATTACAGAGAACCTTGCAAACTCGCAATCGTGGGCCATCCGGGATATGATTTCAGTCCTGAAGAAGAACAAAACCAAACATGCCTGGCACAAGGACAATGGGTTTGCAAGCATGTTGTGGCATGTCCGAAGAAACTCCATATTCCGTTTGTGCCATGCATGTGTCATATACCTTTGCTTTCACAGGACCCAGTGACCCGGCAGCTTCTCTTGGATATGGGTGTGTGTGAGGAGGAGGCGGGGTTGTTGCTGGATTGAGCTTTTCGCGGTTGGCTACGAAACATGTTGCCCAAACTGAGCAAGTGCACAAAGCTTCGGACAGGAGGGTGGGCAACTGAAGGTGGTGAGGCAGAAGTCCTTCAAGGAGATGTTTGCAAGTTGTCATGGCAGAAGCTTGCTGGGTTAGCACATTAGAGAATGCTTGGAAGTGTATTGTGCAGGAGGATTCTTTGCCTTTCTTGAAGCCGACGGTTGAAGATTCCCAGCCGCTTCCAGACGATGAAGCTTTGCAGCCGATTCAAAACACAATGGCCCCAGAAGACTCACAGCCGATCCAAGACAGTGCCCCAGAACACTGACAGCTGGTTGAAGACAGTGCAGCCCCAGAAGTTTCGCAGCCGGTTCAAGTCGTGGCCCCAGAAGTTTCGCAGCCGGTTCAAAACATCGTGGCCCCAGAAGTTTCGCAGCCGGTTCAAAACATCGTGGCCCCAGAAGTTTCGGAGCCGGTTCAAGACAGTGTGGCCCCAGAAGTTTCGCAGCCGGTTCAAGACAGTGCAGCCCGAGAAGTTTCGCAGCCGGTTCACGACAGTGTGGCCCCAGAAGTTTCGCAGCCGGTTTCGGAGCTCGCCCCCGAGGCCCCAGTGTGTGATTGCAAATTGAGAAGATTTCGGAAGGTTCATGTCACGATTAGCTCATCGACGACGATTGGTGTGATGGTTTCGCATTCCTGTGTAAGACATGCATGATGTATACATGTTTGTGTGCCAAGCCCGAGCTCCGGCATTTGGTCAGGATCCATCCACTTCACAAGCACCATTTGCAGAGGCGGGGATTGCACAGAAGCTTCAGACCTGGCATGGCATTCTGAATCCGAACATGGTTTTCGCAGCAGATCACATGCTCATGCCAAGTATAGGTTATAGCGCCTGTATAGTGTCTTGAGCGAGAGTTTGCAATTGTTGAGTGGGCAGGTCGTCTGCTCGTCCGACGAGGAGACTGCTCACTTGGCCAACAGCAGCCACGAGGGTTTGTCCGCAGTTCTTGGAAATCTGCTGGCCCAGCTGTGTTTCAGCTGAACCGAATGAGTCGTGCAGTCTGATGCCGTGCATGCTTGATGGTGCTAGAAGTTGTGTGCCCCTATCTTGCAACCGCCGAATATGTTGAAACCGAGGAATGCTTCGCCCGGTCTGGGCAACATGGTGAAGCGAGGAGCTATGAGAGTGCAAGCCAGTCCTCAGCATGGCTCCCTGCCTTTAGCTGGACTACTCACATGGAGTTTTGAAAGTTGCAAGTATATAGCTGCGATGTACATCCTTATATCCACAGGTGACCTTGGCTCTGCTTCCATGAGCAATGATTCCTTCAAGAAGGATGAGGCACTTATGGATTGGTTTTGGCTTTCCTCATGCAACAACTGGGCTGGTGTATTCGAGGGTAGAGTGCAGTGAGCATCAGCCGTGCTTATGTCAAGACAAAAGCCATGTGTAATGATTCGGTATGAACCCGAACCTTTTGTGGAGGCCCCTCAGAGCACGGCTGTGGACGAGACGGGTGGCCCAGGTGCCGCCTTGGAGACTGCAGTGGGCCCTTCCAAGGGCGATGTGCATGAGAATCCGGACGAGAAGGGCGGCCCGGGTGATGCATTGGAGACTGCAGAGGGCAATGTGCATAAGGATCCGGGCGACACGAGCTTTCCAGAAGTTACTCAGGAGGGCTATGTGACACGCAGGGATCAGTTTGGCATGAAGTCTTCATTGAAAGGTCAAAGAGGCCGGGGGCGAGGCCGAGGCAGGGGTGGCCGGGGCCCCACGGCTGCAAAGTCAAAGCCTTCGAAGAAAGAACCCGAAGGTGTGTACAGTGCCTCGAGCAAGGGGCCCGTGGAGGAAGGATCGGGGCTCCGCCGCATGAAGAATCATGTGGCTTTGGGTGACGATGACGAAGGCCAGTCCGAGGACGAGGAGCCCGAGGACGGCGAGCCCGAAGAGGAGCAGAGCGAGCATGAGGATGAGAAGCCGAGAAAGAAGCCGAGTGCGAGAGGACAGCCCAAGGCGAAAGCCACGGCAAAGGCAAAGTCAGCCTTGCCGAAGAGCAAGGCCAAAGCCAAAGCCAAGGCCAAGGCCTCGGCGAAGTCCAGTGCCAAAGCCTCGAAGGTTGTCGCTGGGGATGGGGATGACCCGGAGCCACCAAGCAAGAAGGCCAAGACAGCCAAGAGTGCCGATGGAGAAGCAGATGTTCCGGAGCCAGCAAACAAGAAGGCCAAGACTGCAAACCGCAAAGAAGCTTTGGAGGCAGCTTTCAAGAAGACGTTCCATGAGTACACCCAGCTTCGAAAGCCCGAGCCCCTGGTTTTCCATGACATGAATGCCAATGCTGCTCTGTCCAATCCGGACCACATTCGTGCGGTGCTGAAGTACGAGTGCATGAAGTGTTTGATCGACTGCTACAAGGCCGGCGAGGCCGACAAGAGAGGCAAGCACGATCACTTGGAGAAGTTGTTTGCACCCGATGGTTACCGCTACGAGCTGTATTGGACCAGATTCTCCGTGGGGGTCAAGAGGCAGGACGGCGACGAGTACAAGCAGATTGTGTACTTTTCGAGGCCAACGACATGCACAGGCACGAACCGGGTGCTGGCAAGGTATTTCGCCTGGGACTTGGATGATTTGCCAAATTGTTTGTGATGTGCCATAAATGATTCGGCCCCATGCAGCTCCAAAGTGCACTTGGATTCATGGTTGGTCTCAGGTTGCTTTGTGCTCTTCGTTCCCTCGAAACACCGACCCTGCTTGCAGAGCTCTGAGCCATTTCAAAGCCATAGCCGCCACAGCACACGCAGAGGCTGTGTCAGGATGGTTGCCGTGAAAAGTGTACATCAAGAGGTGCCTGCAGTGCATGTGGAGCTTTATACAACTTGAGTGTGCAATCATCTCCAACCATGCATGGTAAATGGTGTGTACGTTTTTGTCCTTGGGCCACACGAAATCCTGCAGGCATTGCTTTCGAGACGGCTCCCGGACTTAGGAGCTAATAGGGGAGCACAGCGAGCAGCATGAGCATCATCGTGCTTAATTGCAGCCTTTTGCACACACACACACACATATGAACACATGGTTTGTCCAATCAGATTGCTCGCATGGTTCAGCCAGGGGTTGAGCTGAAGGTGTGACTGGGCACGTTTCCCCGAGTCGCCAAAAAGGTGGTGTGCAACTGTTCGTGTCTGGCTTTCGCAGTGCAGTGCTGACTGTTTTGAACTCTGCAGTCCCACGAAGTTAGCAAATCCGATGTATGTTTAACACCCAGCTGTGACATGGCAGATCGGATGCCAAAGCGAGCTCGAGACGATGCTCCTTCCTTTCGATTGGACCGTTGGCTGGCTCGCTTGCTTTGTATACATGCATTGTTCGTGGTTTTACTGATTCGGAAGTGATGAGACCAGTTAAGGCCGATCGTCATCGTGGGTCATGACACCACATATAAGTTCCTAAGCCTTCATATGCCCCGAAAAAATTCAAACCCCAAACCCTAAACCCCTAAACCCGGGTGTGAGCGCCGAAACCCCTAAACCATAAACCCCGAAACTTTCTAACCCCTATCGAAAGCCGAAACCCTTAAACCTTAAACCCCGAAACTTCCTAACCCCTATCGAAACCTATGTGGCTTCTGAAGCAACGGTTGCAAAGTTGCCAAAATAAAGTGGAGCTCCGTATAATGAGCCCGCCCCTTATCCTAAAAAGGCCCTGATGCTCATTACATATGAGAATCGTCTTTGGGCACTGTTTGCCTTTAGGGACCTATACTTGGAAGGGCAGGGGACTTAGTAAGTAGGTTATATATGTATAATTGGGGTAACTCCATTTAGGGCACTTATAACTCTATACTTATATAACCTACTTACTAAGTCCCCTGCCCTTCCAAGTATAGGATATGAATTGTGGTTCAGGGTCTATATATAGTCTACAAGCTGAAATCCCCGTGGGGGTTGATGGAGCTCTGACTTCTTGGTGTTCTGATAAACTGGCAAATCCTTGAAAGTGTTTTGGCTGGATTGGGGTCGGCCGCTTTCTCAAAGCTCTATACCCCCTAAGCCCTAAACCCCAAAACCCTGCAATGTCCCATGGTCTCACATGTGGCCGTGCAAGTCTGATGTTGGGGCAGCATCGACCACTCCTTTTGCCGGCAGCTCGAACACTGCATGGTCATGTCTCGGAGCTCTAAACAGCACGACCAGATCTCCACGCACCGGCAGTTTAGCAAAGCTTTACTTCGTGATGTGTGTGCTAGAGCTACGAAGCATGTATGTGAGTATTGCCTATATAGGAAATCCCGAATTGTCAGGTTCATCGATAGCTGCCGCAGCATAGAATGCCATGGGTTGCCGTCGGAGCAAGCCAACATGCAGCGATCCCGGACAGCACAAAGGATAGTTAGTTCGTAGCTGCTGCTCAATGACTCGATCATTCCAAACTCCGAAGCTGGTGCATGTTTTGTACTGAAGCCGAACTCACCGATCCCAGGTCCACATCGAGGTCGTCGTCCTGACACAGTTGCACCGAACATGCTTGAGCTGCTCCTTGTTGGAATATAGATCTTGCTTTTGAGAGGGATCAGGCACGGAGTTTGTGTAAAGTTGCCGATCATGGGGTCAGCAGCAGTGAACGAGCCGCAGAGAAAACCCCAACCGCCGAAAACAAATAATCCCTGCCTCAGGACACGGGTGATATCGTCGCCGCAGTGTTGAACAACACCCTGGGATGAGCCGGTGCGACTCTTTGCTTATCATGATCAATCAACCCGTCGTATAGTTCTGATTTCTGTCTACCCTAAACCCCTAAAACCCTAAACCCTAAACCCTCTTGAGAAGTGCAGGAGTTCAGAGATTGATTGGTGTTTTTAGGTTTTGGAGCTTCAGGGTTTGAGGTTAATAAAGACTATACATGGGGGTTTCCGAAAATTAGGGATACCTTATTTTGGGGTTTTATAATATATATATATATATATATAGGATCCTATATACTACTTAGGGTACTATATTGGGGTCCTCTATTTTCGGAAACTCCCATATACGGTCCTGGGCTGGCAACTATATATATATGTATATATATATATATATGTATATATATATATATATATAGCTTTGAACCCTCGATGCAAATATGTATCACGTATACTATATAGTATACATGATATAATGATACATATTTGCATCGAAGGTTCAAAGCTTACATAGGGGCTTTGGGTTCTACCCTAAGGGTACTATATTGGGGTCCTCTATTTTCGGAAACTTCCATATAGGGTCCTGGGCTGGCAACTATATAAGCTTTGAACCCTCGATGCAAATATGTATCATGTATACTATGTATAGTATACATGATACAATGATACATATTTGCATCGTTGGTTCAAAGCTTACATAGGGGCTTTGGGTTCTACCCTAATTAGTGATTCTTCTGTTTGAAAAGGCCAAATCTTTGTAATAAGTCAAGAACACTCGATCCTGGGAGGTCCCGCAAGCACCAGAACCCTGTAGTTTTAAAAGCCCGCAGAAGCCCCCGAAGTAAGTCGATCGTGCAATGCCTCGGCCCAAAAGTCCCGGAAAAAAACCTAAGCCCACACAAGTCCAGATTAAGCCAAAGCAAGTCTTTCAATTCCCGCAAAACCCTATAAACCCTATAAGCCCTATATGAAGAAAGCCTTTAGCTGCAACAGAAGCAAATGTTCTCGGCTCCCACAAGCCCGGCTACGTACCCGACAACCCTAAAGCCCGTAAAAGCCCTATAGGAGTAGTGTGTACATCGATACAGAGAAGCTTCGGAGCACAGCTCGCCCAGAACCGAAGAACCTTGCTGCTTGTGGAGCTCGCTCTCTCTCCAGAAGGCCGGCTTCGTAGTTTGGGGCTTTAGGGTTTTGGGGGGCTTCGGCTGTACATATATTATAATGGGTCTTTGGTCTTTGGGTCCACAAACAAATGCCAATGCCCTAAAACCCGAACCCTACACACGAAATTCCCAAAACCTATACACCGAAAAAATTATCTCTTGAACCCTAAAACCAATGCCTCGATCTTGACGGTTTATACCTGGCTGCCCAATGTCCTTAAGCTGTGCACATGAGTCCTGGACCCCTCCATAGACATCCTAAACTCTCACACACCCAAGAGGGTCAGAGGGTTCGAATCGATCGGCATTAAGCATAAACGGTTGCCTCCCCGCAAAGTGAAAATCGCCAAACCCTGAAAGCCGAAACCGGGGCACTTTTACGAGAACGAAAGCGAGAGAGAGAGAGAGAGAGAGAGAGAGACAAAGAGACGGGAGCACGAAGCCAAGTCTCACATCTTCTGCAGGTGATGCTGCACGGCACGGACACCCTGAGGAGATGCTGCATGGTGGACCCAAGACCGGGGTGCTGTCCAGTGCTAGAGGGCTCTGTTCGGGATTGCAAGTTGCTGCTTATCGGGTATGGCTGCAAGGTTTGTATGCATTAAGTTCGGTATCTACTTGCACGCAGGTCTTCATGGTAAGTTCTGTTTGTGGGGGGGTCGAGTCAAATATGTTATGTGCTTTTTAGTGGGAATCCTGAATATATATATATATATATATATATATATTCTGCTACTGGGACCCAAGTACCGAAACTTCTTCCGTGTGTGTATGCATATACATATATACACACACATGTGACATACATGTCGGTGTGTGTGTGTGTATATAGAATATATATCAAATATAGTTATCCTGTGATAGTGGATCATACCATATATATATATATATAATATAGAGAGAGAACATGCATCGTTTACATGGTGTAACATGCATATATATATATATATATGTATGTACAAAAGTCTTACATCGTGTAGCATTATATAGTTTGCAAATATTGTTACTGTACATACATATATATATCTATATATATATATATATATATACATATATATATATATATATATTTGTATGCATGCCTGCATACATATGTGTTTGTCTATAATATATATATATATATATATATATATATATATATATATATATTGATACACACACATGCATATGTGATATACATGTGTATGGAGGTGTGGTGAGGGTGTGCTGGGTGTTGGGGGGGCGGGGTTGGGGGGTGTGCTTGGTGGGCTGGTGGTGGGCTGGGGTTCTGGTGGCATTGGGCGTTTAGCTGGCTTTGCTCCATGGGTGGGGGTGGGGAGGGTGTGGTGGGAGGCTGGGGTTGTGGTGTCCGGCCACGCATCCGTCTTCAGCTGGCATCCAGGCGGGGGGGGTGGGGGGGTCTAGGGGGGTTTGGTCTGGGCTGTGTGCTGAATATGGGCCTGGAATTGTCGGGATGTGGGGTGTGGTGGCCTGGGGTGTGGTGGCTTTGGAGCCGAATAGGAGAGAAGGGCAGCAGGGGGAGGCTACCTTTTGGTTTTCGTTGGGGAACAAATTTTTTTCAAAGCTTTTTTCAGCATTTTTTCTTCCAAAGTCACCTTTGCCTTGCAAATGCGTTCGGACCCGTTGGAAGCGTTGGAGCATTTCTGCGACCCGTTGGAAGCGTTGGCGAAATGCGTTAAATGCATCAAATGCATACTCGTTGGAAGCGTTAAAAGCGTATGCGTTCAGAATGCGTTCAAAAAGCGTTCAAAATGCGTTCGGTATGCGTTCGGATGCGTTCGCCAAATGCGTTAAAAAAGCGTGGAATGCGTTCTCCCCATGATCCCAGTTTGGGCCCAGTTTTGAGGGCATTTCGGGCCAACTTGGGCTGCCCCAGTCAATCTAGTTCAGTTTTCCTAGGCAGCCAGACACAAACCTCTGCTGTTCCGGGGCGGGGCTGGGACTGCTGTGTCCATTATGAGCAAATATTGCCGCTGGTGAGCATTCTAAATACACACACAAACACACACACACACACACACACACACACACACACACACACACACACACACACACACACACACCGTGTCCCCTATTATGCACATATACATATACATATATGAAACACACACACACACATATATATATATATATACATATTTATATCACACACACACATATATATACATACACACACAGTTTATCATATATGGTATATATATATATATACACACATATACACATACATACATATAATATATATATATATACACATGTAAAACATATATGTATATATACACATATATATATATATATATATATTATATTATAGTATATTATATTATATTATATTATATTATATTATATTATATTATATTATATTATATTATTTATCTTATCTTATCTTATCTTATCTTATATTATATTATTTATATATTAAAGCCCATCGATCCCTAGACCCGACATGGACCGGTGCTTGGGTCCACGAGCTACAGCAAAACCTTGCAGACCCTCAAGGCCCGAAACCTTAAGCCCCAAGGCCCTAAACCCCTAGCTCCGAAAAGAACACACAAAACAGACTGTGTTGTGCTCCGTGGTTATCCAGAACAACCTCACAAACCTTGAACCCTCTAAAGGTTTTATAAATCATATAGGTCCCAAAAGAACCCACGCCTTCTCAAACCCGAACCCCTTAAATAAATCTTGACCCCCCCCGAACCCTAAACCCTATAAGGACCCCAAAGAACCGAAGCCCTGGCACAACACAGTGTGTGTCGAGCTTTGTGCTCGGTGCTAAAGAGAGAATTGCAGTGCTGCTCAAAAAGGTATCCAATATTGTGCCTCACTGAGACCTCGCTTGCACTGTGGCACGATCACTGCTGCACCGAAAGATTCGCCATGCCTTGTGTGTGTATATGTGTGTGTGCAACCCAAGCTTTTCTTTAACACCCCTGCATTTTGCATCTGGGGTGCTTCGATAGCCTGCACATGGCTTCCACTTCCGATGCCTGGGCCGCCAAGATGTCTGTAGAAGACTTGGTCAAGGGGGCAAAGGCAACCGCTGATCTGGCGGGTTTGGAGTTTGCCCTAGACACCTCCTTTCTATCAAGAGAAGCACTGCTGCAGGCCATTCAGGACTGCTTTGCTGCTCTACATCCTAGCCCGAAATCTTGCTGAGATTCCTGTATAATACACGAATCAACCCTGGTCAGGAGTGCAAGATGATCTTGAGAAAAGGATGCAAGGTCTCAACCTCTGTTGGTCCTGCCTGCTTCAATACAAAGCACGACCAGAGAATCAACAAAAGCATTTGATTGCGATCGCCAACTTTCCAGGCTACAGCAGCACCGAGCCCCCTTCTCGCTGTCAAGAATGAGCCGGTTAAGGCGGAACCAATTGAGATGCAGCAGACACAAGCAGCTGAGTATTGACTGCACTGGTTTCGTCAAAGTGTTTATCCTTCTCTGGTCCTTCTCTCTCTTCCCCCCTCGCTCTCTCTCTCTCTCTCTCTCTCTCTCTCTCTCTCTCTCTCTCTCTCTCTCTCTCTCTCTCTCTCTCTCTCTCTCTCTCTCTCTCACTCTCTCTCTCTTTCTCTCTCCTTGCTTCTTTTGCTGCTGAGGATACCCAGCAGCTGCCGCCCCTGCTTGCTCAGCCGGTGGCTGCATCTACTGGCATCCAGGAATTCGCTTTCCCTGTGTGCCCTGAACCCAAAAAAAACCCGACCTTCAACCCTAAACTTCCCTTTTGCTCGTCAGGACACCCAGCTGGAGCAGGACACCTTCGCTGCCGCACCTGAGACCGCCGCCGAGGATATCGGGGTTTGCACTTCTACTTCACACCCCTAATTAAGACCCCTATATAGACTCTATATAGACCCGAAAGTATATAGCAGGTATATAGTATAGGGATGTTGAATAAACAAAAGCACAGCTTACCGTCTGCTGTGCAACTCTCGCTGTGCACGAATCGCTGATATCTTAACCCTTTAAACACCCTAAGCCTTAAACCGAATGATAATCCCTACGTAACTCCCATAAACTGTTTGAGGAGCTGCAGAAGTCAGGGCCTTCGAGCCAACGGATGTTTGCAACTATACAGGTCGATGCAAGTCAGGGCCCCGATAGCCAGACCACGGAACCCGGTTCTCCAGAAGCCAAAGCACCGAATCTGCAGCCCCAAGCGAAAAGCCCAGCGACACCCTTGCAGGCCCAAGCCAAGAGCCCAGCAACACCCGTACAGGCAAAGAGCCCGCCGCAGACACCCGTGCAGACCCTGGCCCAAGCGAGCAACCCACCGTCCGTGCAGCAAACTCAGAGCCCGCCGACACCGGCCCCAGCAAAGAGCCCACCGTCCGTGCAGCAAACTCAGAGCCCGCCGACACCGGCCCCAGCAAAGAGCCCACCGACACCGGCCCAAACAAAGAGCCCGCAGACACCGGCCCCAGCAAAGAGCCCGCAGACACCGGCCCAAGCAAAGAGCCCACAGACACCGGTCCAAGCAAAGAGCCCGCCGACACCGGCCCAAACCAACACTCCAGTGACACCTGTGCAGGCAAAGACTGGCCCGCCGACAATCGTGCAGGCCCAAACAAGCCCGGTGCAATCCAGCCCGCCGAAGCAATCTCCGCCCACGCCATCAGCAGCAGGCACACCGCCCGGCCAAACAAGAAACCCAAGCATCCCTGGAGCCTGCACCGACGTTTCGCTGTTGCAGGCAAAGATCAAGGAGCTGGAGCAACAGCTTGCAGCAACAAAAGCAGCACCCCCGAAACAAGTGCCGTGCCAAACCCCGCAAAACCGAATCCGATCCAAAGGCCAAGCGAGCCCTGCAGCTACTTCAGCCCAAGCAGCAGCACCAGCACCAGCTGCCGTCGCAGAAGACGAGGATGAGGAGGAGCCAGAGGAACAGGACGATCAAATCGGCAAGGTCATGGTGACCTCGCCAGACGGCACCATCGTTGCTTGATAGACTGGGGCTTAAGGCAAGATGTGGTTCAATTGGCTTCAAGTTCGGTTTGGAATTGTTGGTGCTTTTGTTTTGATCAACCCTAACACCCTGTATAAACCTTGTAGGATATGTCTAATATAGTTAAGGGGTTTAGGCTTAGGGGTTTAGGGTTTAGGATATATATGTATGTATATATATATATATATAGTTGTGTTATATCCTTAAAAAGCCCCAAACCCTAAACCCCTAAAGCCGAAACCCTATATAGGATCCTCAGGTCTTGACCCAAGATGCATTGAGAATGCGGTTAAAGAGGATGTGCGAGCAAAAAAAGAAATCTCACAAGTGTCATGTCGACAATGAAACTCACGAGCAGTATGCCAGTGGAGGGCCACAGCGAGAGTGGCTAGAGATGGCACTGCTAGAAGCATTGCAAGATGTGGGAACGGTTGCACTGGGACGTGGCAAGGCAGCCCACAAGCAAGTTCAGGCACCTAGCTTGCATGCACAAGTTATGAATTTCAGGGTTTATGGTTTCGGATTCTGAGGGCTTTCCCGCAAAGCCCGAACCCGTGATCCCAGAACCCAAACCCTTGAAAAGGCTCATATATAACCTTCTCGAAGCACTTAAGCACCTAGCCTGAAACTCCCCAAGCCGCCAAACACCATAGGCCTGATTCTCCTTGTGCTCCGGATTCTTGGCCAAGGCATCCTTCAAGGTCAGGGTGACACAGATTCGAGAACGCCAGATGCTCAAGGAGTCCGAGACGAACGGGGAATGGCTCACGGAGGAAAAAATGAACAAATCGGGTGAATACAGCAAGCTACTAGGCTTGATGATCTTTGTGCTTGCAACACCATTGAATGCAAGCGACACATGCAAGCAACCCAACCTAAGGCAGACCATCAAGTCGATCATTGCATTCTGTGAGCGATTTCCACAGATCTTGACGAGGCTCTGGTTCATGGATGTATCAGGATATCATAAAAAAACCATCACTCCTCAAACCCTGTGAGCGCCGAGACCCCCCCAAATCCAACAAGTACGAAAGCCCTAAAACCCTAAACCCGCCAACCCCCCTCCCTCCCTCTCTCTCTCTCTCCCTCTCTCTCTCTCTCTCCCTCTCCCTCTCTCTCCCTCTCTCTCGCTCTCTCTCGCTCTCTCTCTCTCTCTCTCTCTCTCCTCCTCTCCCTCTCTCTCCCCTCTCTCTCTCTCTCTCTCTCTCTCTCTCTCTCTCTCTCTCTCTCTCTCTCTCTCTCTCTCTCTCTCTCTCTCTCTCTCTCTCTCCCTCTCTCTCTCTCTCTCTCTCTCTCTCTCTCTCTCTCTCTCTCTCTCTCTCTCTCTCTCTCTCTCTCTCTCTCTCTCTCTCTCTCTCTCTCTCTCTGCACATATATTATATACACCCACAAAGCCCTATAAAACCCTAAATCCCCCAAACCCTTTATAAACCCTTTCGTGCTTGACTACAGGAAATGGAAGTACGACAACAGTGTAACGGAGTACTTCGTTGAGATTTCGACAAAACAGACCATCAAGCACAGCGAGCTGCTGAAACGCATCGAGAACATGGATCTTGGAGATGCCCAGCTGCATTGGGACGGCGATAGCATGAACCTGGGTTGCAGTCACTTCTGCTACTGAGGAACAAAATCCTGGCGACATGCCGATGTCCCTGGATGCACCTGCTATGGTGGACGAAAGCAAAGCACAGCCGAAGCCAGAGCAGGTGGGAGACAAGGCCATGGAAGTTTCAGATTAACAATCCCTATAACCTTAAACCCGATAAAACATACACCCTGCAGCTGACTTATAAACCTTTTATTGCTGCAGACTCTGCCCGACCTTGTGAAGCTGATGGATTCCGTGCATGGCCACATGGCTTCGATCGCCAAGCTGCAGAAAACGATTTCCGATTCCGAAGATGGTCCTAAATTGCCCCCGGCCAAAGCGGAGACACTTTGGCTATAGAGTTAACAAGTTCCGTCAAACAGTTTTCCTGCATGTGTTTGTGCCCACGTTTCAAGAACTCGCTGCCTAAGTCTGATGAAAGACCTGGACCGCATCGATAAATCCTTTCAAGATGCCTTCAATGAGCTGGCGAAAGTGAAGGCCGAGCTAATGATTTGCGAATCGGAAACGATGACCCCCGAGCTTCTCAGATTGCCATTGTGCTAAGCCCCGAATTCCAAAACCTACATCCGCAGAATCTTATAATCCCAAACTCAGCCCAGGTGCCTGCAGAAGGTGATCAGTGCCAAGGACACCATCAAGAAGCCGCAGCTCGCCTCATGTGCTTTTGAAGTTGTTGTGGGGCTACTGTACCAGGATGTGACTGCCTCACGTGTGATTCTAAGGTGTGCCGAACTGATTGCAATGGAGTCTCGGGTGAAGCTTCTCGTTTTAATGGCTTTTGGTCGTTTGCATTCACACATGCATGTTCGAAACAATGCTTGATAACTCTTCTGAAGATATCTGCAAGGTTGGTGCTCCTGGAGCTGAAGAAGAGTCTCAAGCGACCGAGCGATCACCAGCAAGCGGAGCCCAAGAAAAATCCACGCAAGAAGAAGTGAAGCTGTGTCCTTTCGACTTCTGTACAGCTGTTAAAGTGTTGAAGCTTGCCGGCTGGTGTGGTGTGTGAATCCACATGCTGCATTGCTACATGCAAATCCAGTGCAAAGCCCGTTAATTCCGCAGGATCCATAGGATGCCGTTCGCTGTGTGACAACACAGAACCCTGGGACGCAGGACAAAAACCCGAGATGTATGCCCAGGTCCTTCCGATGCTGCCCAGCGACTGGCATGGAGCTATGCCAATGGGGTGGCTCGCATCCATGGGGGAACCATCTATCGAAGAGGGAATTCATTGACGAGTTCTTGTTATAGGTTGAGGTATGGGTTTGTATATGGTAATTCTTCTCGAGGGTGAAAGAGGAGCCTTAAGCCTAAGCCGTACATAGGTCCCTATGAGAGCCCTTTATAAACCGTCACGTCTGGGGTGCATTCCTGCTTCCGAGGCTCCGTGCACTGACATTATCCAGCAGGCTACTACAATCGTGCAGTATGACATGCGAGATCGAGAAGAACAACGGAATATGCAAGTGTGCCCTGTTCTTCTGCAGCTTTACGATGCACCCGAGTCGAAGTCAGTGCTTCAGCATGCAATGTAATGTTCATTGAGCCACTTATGCAGCCGACAGCATGCAGGCACTTCGTAGGTTTCAATATATACTTCCATAAAGTTACTCATATAGCAGTGTTTTGGGGTAGATCGAGGCTTTTGTAAACGGAGTTGGTGTTTCCGGTTATTCTTGGTTCCTGAGGAGAGTGTGGTGGCCCGGGTTTTTGCCAAAGCAGGTTTGCGACTGGATGTGAAGATATGTTATGCACATATTGGCCAACACCGCGAGCACCCATACATCCCTGTGTCATCTTGGATTCAGACTTTAGACAAAGCCGGCAGGCTAGGTAAACTGGTGAGCTGCTCAATGGACGACTTGCCCAAAATGCTTGAATCTTATTGGGACAACTTCAAGCAGCTCCACCCCACACATCAAATCTTCAATCTGCAAGTTCCCTTGAGCCGCTGTCTCCCAGTGCTTTTGCACGGGGATGAAGGAACCACTTACAAACGAGATGGGGCATTGGTACTATCATTTCAATCGCCACTGGGGAGAGGCACCTCCAAGAACAAAGTGGGCAATGTGGCCGGCGACAACAAACAGCTATTGAACTTCGTTGGGCATGCTTTTCAAAGCAGGTTTTTGATTGTGGCTGGTTTAAAGGAGGACTATCGAAACAATCCGGATATTTACAAGCAGTATTTGGAGTTGGCTACAGCCTCGTTGGATGATGCATGCCGACAAGGGGTCCAACTTCAATCAGGTCAAATGCTGCATCTCGTACCTGTTGGCCTGAAAGGCGATTGGTCCTTTCTGGTTCCTTGTGCTCATGTTCGTTTTTTGTCTACTTTCGTGAGTATACATCCTCAAAAGAACGGGTTGTTTAGCTCATTGGACCCTGATTCAGGCTGCCAGTGCAGACATGAACCGATCGTACAAGAATGGGCCCAAGGCTCAAAAAGCCAGCAAGCCTTGTACAGGCATTTGCCATCTTTGTCTGGCCGGAAGGCCAGAAAACGACTTCGAAGATCTGTGCCCCATCATGTTCAGATTTTATTGGGTTGATCTCCCTCCCAACCTCGCATAAAGCTTGGCAGCTACTTTCTGGATGTGTCTCTGTTCCTTAAGCCGAGGTCTACAACTCCAAGATTTGCAACTACTTTTGGGGCTGAGTTGCCATGGGACGAGGAGCCCTGCTTCACCAGAGTTTTGCTCCACGAGCCGGATCGCAAGGAAACTTTCTACAAAGTTGATGTATTTCACACTGTCAGCATCGGCATTGGCAAAACCTACGCAGCCAGCTGCTTGGCTCACCTGCAAGAGTTTTGCCCTGGGACTTCGGTTGACTTGAGGCTGGAGGAGCTTTCGGCACATTATCTCGAGTTTTGCAAAGATCCTGGGCTCCATAAATATGTTTCGCTTTGTTGATGTTGCCCATGGACAAGCTTTTTCGGTCAATAGATATATGATCGAAACACACACAAATCAGGAGAACAGAATCACCAATTTCGTTCAGCGATTGACGAGGGACACCTTGGCATGGAAAAGTGCCACCGTGGAGGCTTCTGGAGGCTGGAATAAGGGTGCCCTGACAACAAGCCTTTGCCTCTTCATCCAGCATATAAGCACTCTCTGGAACCTGGCAAATCATGCCGACGAAATGAGCCGTCTTATTGTCTCTTGGCAAGATTTCCTTTTTGGCTTTTATAAGGTTTCGGATCGTGTGTGCAACTTTTCCTAACTTAAGTCGCATGAGCAGAAGGCATCGTCGAGTCGTGCACTCAATGATTGGATGCGAATGCTACATTCTGGGGGAGCTTGGCTGTCGAGACAGGATGCTAATCGCATCAACCTGGCTGGACGCCATTTCCTTGATTGTTATGGCCGTTTAGCACGTATTTGTCATTCGAGATCCGAGCTCAAGTTCGCCTTGGTGCCGAAAGTACATATGTACTGGCACCTTGTTCACAACATGATCGATCAAACAACCAAGCATGGCTTCTGCGAGAATCCTTTGAGCGAAAGCTGCAGCATCGATGAAGATTTTATTGGCAAATTTTGCCAGTTGACACGTTCCGTGAGCCCCAGACTGCGAATACAGAGGGCTCTCGAGCGATATCTCTGTCATGTGCAGTTGTTGTGGCAGCGAGAAGCAGTGGCCACGCCTTGAAAAATCGAGTTCCGAACTGCGGTCCCTTCTCCCGACACCTCAACCCAAAACCAGAGCATAACCCCATGAACAGTATACTGTTGAGCCACCCACATGTGTTGAACACCGATTCCAGCAAATCAAAGAGCCGAGTCAAGAATATGCGTTCAACCCGTTCGTGGGTCAATTTTAAGCGTGGGCAACATAATTATACGTTCGGTGCTGATGGTTCCTACACCTTTTCCAGATTGCACACTAATTGTTGGCACACAGGCTTAGCAGGTACTCTTTACTCTTTAAACACCTACAAATACAGCGGGCGGTGAGAGCGGTGGAGACGGTGGGAACGGTGAAAGCGGTGGAGGGGGATGAAGGTGGTGGGGGTGGTGAGGGCGGTGAGGGCGGTGTGGGCGGGCGGTGTGGTGGTGTGGGCGGTGTGGGCGGTGTGGGCGGTGTGGGCGCGGGGGGGTCCGGGCACACATTGGCAGCCTTTAAATACTCTTTACTCTTTAAACACCTACATATACAGCGGGCGGTGAGAGCGGTGGAGACGGTGGGAACGGTGAAAGCGGTGGAGGGGGATGAAGGTGGTGGGGGTGGTGAGGGCCGTGAGGGCGGTGTGGGCGGTGGGGGCGGTGTGGGCGGTGGGGGCGCGGGGGGGTCCGGGCACACATTGGCAGCCTTTAAATACTTTGTAAAAGTAAGGGCGGCGGTGGCGCTAGGGGCGGTGTGGGCGCGGAGGGGTCTGGGCACACATTGGCAGCCTTTAAATACTCTTATTTTTTTTTGACACCTACAAATACAGCGGTGAAGGACTCTTTAAACAGGGCGGTGGTGGAGGTTGTGAGGGCGGTGGGGGCGGTGAGGACGGTGGGGGCAGTGGGGGCGCGGAGAGGTCCGGGCACACATTGGCAGCCTTTACATACTCTTTAAACACCTACAACTACAGCGGAGAAAGACTCTCTGAACAGAGCGGTGGAGGCGGTGGAAGCGGTGTGGGTGCGGACACCTCTCGGGATATCACGGGCGCCGCCCGCAGGTGTCGGCGGATAAGGACGCCCAAATTAAGGTAATTACCCCCCCATTTTTGGAAACTCCCAAATAACATACCTTTGGAGGGCTCCGTGTCATGCTTTCCTTATCTAAGTCCTTCAAAAGGTAGGCTAGTTGGGGTGAAAGCATATAGACCCTAAACCTTAAGCCCTAAATCCGAAAGCTTAAAGCTTAAACCCTGACACCTAAAGCTTAAACCTTAAACTCTAAATGCTAAAAGCCCTAAACCCTATACCCTATAGATCCTTTAAAGGAACCCCTTAAAGCTACCCTTATAGATCCCTAAGACCCTAAGACCCTTGAGATCCCGGCTCTGCTGAGGCCATCATGGTGTACTTCCTCATCAACTATGACAGCACTCCGGAAGGAGCCCCAAGGGTCCAAGTACCCAATAATCGTATACTCTCCGAAATCCTAACCTACATAACTACTATCCTAAAACCGAGTACCTGATTATTAGGTCCCTTAAAAAAGCCTATAGGCCTTCTTAGAAGACCTGCAGGAGATGCCCAATACACCTTAATTATATAAGGAGTATACCTTAAACTAGAAGGAGGTGCCAAGAGACTCCGGGGGGATCTCCTCGGCGTTAGGGTTTAGGGTTTAGGGACAGCACTCCGGAAGGAGGTGCCAAGAGTCTAAGACATTTACAGGTGGGTAGGAAAAAGGTGGGTAGTTTCCCATAAGCCTCCCATACCACACTCCTATAACGTAAAGGGGGTCTTATGGGAGTACTATGGAAGAGGAACTACCTACCTGTAAGGGGCTTCTAAAGAGACTCCGGGGGGATCTCCTCGGCTTTAGGGCCTCGAAGCCCCAAATCCTGTATAAACCCTACCTGGGCCCTACGGAACCTACCTTTCTAGGGTTCCCTAATATGATTTCTTTATATAAGTCCTTAAAAAGGTAGGTTACGTGGGGTTAAGGTAAACCCTGGAGTTTCAGTTCAGAGGGTTTGGGTTTCTGTTTCAGGGCTTTCGGTTTAAGGAGCCGGGCAACAGTTGAGTTGGAGCCTGCATTGGGTTTTGTAATGATTGTATAGGGGTTCGGGGTCTAGGGTTTAGGGTTAAAGGTTTTGTTAATGCTTCTATAAGGGTCGTGTAAGGGGCTTGGGTTTTGTTTGTGGTGGGTTCAGGTTGGTCCGGGTAGGCTTGGGGATTCCGCGCTCAGGAATCAGGGGTTGGGAATTTCGGGGTTGGGCTCCGGGGATTTCACTTAAGGGCTTGAGCTTGCTGTCCAGGGTTTTTTTTAGCTTGGCATTGGAGGTTTAGGGTTTTCGGTTTTAGGCCAGCTTGGACCCTTAACATAAATCCGAAACGTGAGAACCCGTATAGGGTCTTGACAGAGCCCTTACGTATGGTGCAGCGCTGCTAGGCCCCAAGGCGCAATTCCGCAACCTTGAATACCAACTTTCGAGGCCGGCAGACTTCACGAAGAATCCAGAGAGCCCAATACCCCTTAATTAAGGAATATACCTTAAATCATAACATTAAGTCCCCTATATTTAAGGTACATTCCTTAATTAAGGGGTATTGGGCTCTCTGGGAATCCCTGATTAAGCGCTACATTTGGTACCAGACCCCTTCAATGTCCTGATGAAAGCTTTATGCAGCTCTTCCGCCGCTGCGCGCATACTTCGTGCAGTGAATGTCAGTATCAAGCGAAAAACGTGCACGATGGCCCGCAAGGTGCAGAGAAATGTGGTAGATAAAGATACCCTAAACCCTAAACCCTAAACCCTGGGATCTTGCTCAGGAGTCTTTATCATGATATCCAGCGCGTTGCAGTGCGGTACAACATTTGCTGAAACTCCTAAGTCGTGTTTGCTTGGTTCACTGCGACTCTACTGGCCATCGCGATGTGGCATGCTGCGTTTCGTGGACGCAGCCCACAGAGATCGGTCTCTTCTAAATCCATTTAGTATGATCACATTAAACCGTCCACCTTTACCCTAAAGCCTAAACCCTACACCCTAGCAGTAGCACCAGCCGTAGTCCTCCGCGTCGAAAACTACGGCTGCACTGGGGTGTAAGCTACGTTGATAATTGGGGGTACCTTATTTTGGGATCCTTATAATAAGGATCCGACTATTTAGGGTACCATATTAGGGTGAGCGATCTTGCGTCTGTTTGCGGGTGGGTAAGGTTGTTATGTGGAGCAGGACTGTAACAACAAACCACAGTTGGAACTCTGCCGAGCAAACAGCTGGAAATCTATCCTTTGCAGTCTTGTCGCACACAGTTGCAGATCTGCCTGGCCGGTGACCTTAACTCCATTTTCAAGCCTCTGCAGCACACATCCGAAAATTGCCTCGGGGTCGAGGTCTCGCGTGCCGCAAAGTCACATCTTGACGGTCCCAAATGGCTTTCAGGTACCTCTGGACCGGCGGTGCTATCCGGCGACCGCAACAAAGCAGCAGTGCGTGTTTCGGGTGCCGTAGGGATCCGTGAGCCCTTAAACAAAACAGGCTGAGGTCGATTTACCTGTGGATTCCTGCGGTGAAGTTGAGTAGAACCTTAGTGATTACAATCGTAGTGGCCATCGGGGGCACAAACAGCATATAACCCTGCTGCACTTGGACCTCTCTCTCCTCTCTCCGGCCTGGGATTCGCTTTTTGCTCGTCTCGTAACGTCGGTGATTTCCAGGATTTCTACAGGGAGGTTGCCAGCGATTTACATCATTTCAGGGCTAGGCCTGTGACCCCAATGTTCACATACGCAACATACGGATGGAGATGTAGATGTAGATGAAGATGGATAAAGGCAAATAAAGATAAACAAAACAGAGATGGAGAGATGGAGAGATGGAGAGGAAGAGAGATGGCGGATGTACGGATGGACAGGGACACAGATTGACAGATAGACGGAAAAACAGATAGACAGACAGACCGGGATAGACAGATCTATAGATACATTGAGGGCTCAGGTGAGAAGGTCAGGGACAGTCCAGCTTTGTAAACAAGGTCACACGTACATATATCATATGTCGCCTTCCTTTTGCAAGCACTTTGCAGTGGATTTTTGCCAGCAACCATTCTCAACTCAAACGTGAAGTTTATGCTTGCAGGCGAACGGTTTTGACAGGTATATGATAGAAAGAACGGTCTGGAATATGTACATGATCAAGCAAAAGGTGCGTCGCTCAGAACAGCGTTAAAACTCTTGACCCAAATGCTGAAACCTGAACCCTGAATTCGACGTGCAAGTAGGAATTCTATACCTGATCTTGCCGAAATCCGCTGTGGTCCGTTTTTGCAAACGTGGGGCTTAGCAAGGGAGCATTCGCAATAAGGTTTTCAAGAAATTTCATGATTGAGTCTTTGTTTTAGGCTTGGGGTTATCCGAGTCAAATGCGGAGGGGTCATTGGGTTTGAGTCCTCCATCTGCTGAGTGCATGTTTAGTTTTCGGCAGAAATCATAAGTGTTACTGACCTATGATGACCACACAGGCTTCATGGATTTCATGAAGTGGTTCACGCTGATCTACACCTCCATCCTTTGGAAGGCATCCCTGATTTCGAAACGTGAACAGATTAGGGCTCAGGGTGCCTACTTAAAGGATCAGGGGCTTAGTAAGTAGGTTATAATTGGGGTTATAAGTCCCCTAAGTGGGGTTATCCTAATTATATCCTACTTATAACCTGACTTACTAAGTCCCATGATCCTCCAAGTAGGGTCAGGTTGCAGGCGCGGTTTTGGTGGTCGTAGACCCAGAGACTCCAAAACCCTCTGGACTTAGGGGTACTTAGAAATAGTTCTTAATCTTTGGTTATTATAATCCCTAAGAAACAGCCAAAAAAAACCATTTTTGCTAGGGTTCTAAGTTCAGTATAGAGATAAGAAAGATACTTTGAATCATAGTCCCGGCCCAAGGCGTCGCTTGGTTTGGGGCAAGTCGTTACAGAGCAGAACTGAAAGGGTTGAGAGCCTGAGTCCTAAATCCTAAACCATGGACCCTGATGATGCCAAGATGAGCGGAAGGTTTAGGGTTTAGACTTCGGGGCGTTTCTTCCTTCACGCCTGCTGGAGAATCCCTCTGTTTCTGACCTTGTTCTTGCGGTCTGTGCAAGCTGCACGACCCCAAGCCCAGCAAGCAATAAATGAAGCGAGTCCCGAGCGCCCTCAACCCTAAACCTCAAACCCACCACTGTAAAGTAAAAGCCAGAAAGTTGGAACATGATTATCCTAAACCCTTTATGGTAAACCATAAGGTATCCTACCCTGAAACCATATTCCAACTTTCTGGAGCTCCCTTTAAACTCAAAACCCTGAACCCGGCCATTCCTCAAGCCCCCATGAACAACTCGGCAAGAAGCCCGTATAGAAATGTGCGTAGACGACTTTACGAACTCCTGGAGGTCCCAGAGCACAACGAAAGCCTCTCCGAACCAAACCCTAAAGTCTAAATCCCAAACCCGCAGCTCTAAATCCGAGGGTGTGCTTAAACCAAACGGGAGTTCATTTTGGAGGTTTGGGCCAGCTGAAGTCTCACTCCGCACTAAGCCCCCGAACCCCAAACCCCAAAACCCTAAATCCAAAGCCCTCGACCCCAAATCCTAAACCTAAACCCTAAACCCGCTTTGATTTCCATGTAGTCAGAAAAGAGCCCTTACAAAGAACCGTAAACTCTCAACCCTAAACACAAAGCCCCAGGCCCTAAACCCTAGCGTACGCGCAAATCAAAAGCGAAATTTCGCCCGGAGGCTTTGGTCAGCTGGTCGCTGATCACCCCAACAGCAGCAGCCCCCTGAATTGAAGTCGGTTTGGATTTAGGGTTAAGGAGCCTCTTAGGTATGGCCAAAGGGTTCAGAATTGGGGGGGGGGGGATGTGGGCTTAGGGGTTAGCACTGAGTTGAGGGTTTAGGTTGGGTCTTCGGGTGGACGGTGGCATGTTTGGAGGTTCATGGGACTTGGCGGTTTAGGGTTTAGGGTTTAGAGAACTTAGTAGCCACCATCCACGCTAAGTGCAGCCAAGGCAGTTGTTGGTTTTTCGCGGTGGCTGAGACGTCCAAGCAAGCTAGACCTCGATTTAGCAAACCTTGGGTTTAGGATTTGGGGTTCATAGGTTCATAGGCGTTTCTAATTCTTTAAACCGGGCGCATACTAGCAAGTACTTGGAGGTTCGTGGGTAGTTATAAGTGGGGTTATAATTCGGGTAACCATACTTATAACGCATATTAGGGGACTTATAACCCCACCTATAACTACCCATGAACCTCCAAGTATGACGATCCTTTTCATTCGCGGCCTTTGCGTGAGGATCTCGGCACCGTAAAGATATGATGCTAGGTAGCCTAATGTAGGAACCTGATTAGGAAACCTTGGGCATTTATTAGGGCCCCTTATATGAATCCTACTATTTTGGGATTATAGGGCCAGGGTTTCTTAATCAGGTTCCTACATCAACCGCCAATGCCCTAAACTTCAAAACTCTACGCCTGTCTTCCGAAGCTTAACTAGACCATCCTCAAGTTGCTGATATCCCTGAACCCCGCGCAGAGGGTTGACCCTGGGCTCTAAACCCTAAAGACCGAACTACCACCCTGCGCCCTGTCCCAAGCTGCCTGCAACCCAATCCCCAATACTCCAAGTTCGGCTCTTTAGGGTTTAGGGTTCAGGGTGTTAAACCCTCCTCAAACGCCCGACACGCCTAACTGCTAAGCTTCGACTTATCGAGAGCCAGGAAATAAGCCATTGTCGTTTTCAGACAACCCGGAAATCAGTAGTTGTCTTGTTCACACACGCGCCCTGAATTTCTAAAGCATGTTGGGGTGCCTACCATGAGCGTCGTATGGCACAGAATTTACCCCTAAGCCCCTAAACTATCGTAAATCTTCAACCCTAAGCCCTGAAACCCTAAACCCTGAACCTTAAGCCCTAAACCCTAAGCCCTAAGCCTTAAACCCTAAGGCCTAAACCCTAAACCTTAAACCTCAAGCCCTAAACCCTAAACCTTAAACCCTAAGCCCTAAACCCTAAACCTTAAAACTTCTTCATAGGGGCCGTGGGGCCATATAATCTCCGAAAACTCTGCCTGCCCAGCCTTGGCTGGAAGAAGTGAAGACCTGGTGGGCAGCGGTGGTTGGCACGTGGGCCCCTCAGTACTTAAAGGGCTCCTTAAAGGGATCTATAGGGATCCTTAAAGGGATCTATGGGGTTTAGGGTTTAGGGTCTACTTAAAGGCTCATGGGACTTTGTAAGTAAGGTTATAAGTAGGTTATAGTTAGGATAACCCCACTTAGGGGACTTATAACCCCAGTTATAACCTACTTACTAAGTCCCATGATCCTCTAAGTAAGGGGCAGACGTGGGGGTTGCAGGGTTTACGGGTTTGGGTTTAGGGTTTTGGGGACCATTGTTTTGGGTTTTGGGGTTTAGGGTTTAGGGGTTTAGGGTTTTGGGGTTTCGGGTTTAGGAGGTTGGGTTTCCCGTCCCGTTGGGGTTTGTAGAGCTTCGGTAGGGTTGATATGGCACAGCCGGGTTCTGGATTTTGTGGTCTCTAGGCTTTTGTAGCTGACGTTGTACGCAGTCTTTATGGGTGGTTGTCAAAAATTATGGTCCCTTTTTGGGTACCCTAAATATTAGGTGCCGTATTATATTGAGGACCCAAAAAGGGACCATAATTTTGACAACTACCCATATATCCAAAGGACATGACGGTTTGCTGTTGAAGACCTCAAGAAGGTTCGCTTTGAGTTAGCCCGTTGGACATTAGTCATACGTGAGGGGCAATGTCAGGGACTAGACGACAATCACCTTTACTATTTTGGGGGCTTTTCATTACAAGTATAGTATAGGGCTCCAAAGCCATGTTACAATTAAATTAAGGCCCCCCATATTAGAGAGAATCAGCAGTTGAATTTTGGGGTTCCTTGAGATAAGTACAGTATCACATGCCGCAAAAACTTCTCTAATTACATATTCCCCTGTAGTACCTGGCTCTTCCGTCTGTCGGCAGTTGACGCCACTTTCTGACGAGGAGTCTGCTGACTTAGCTTCTGACTTGGCCCTAAGCCCTAAACCCTTAGGGTTTAGGGATTTGGTCAGGGTTTACGGCCCGAAGCCTTCAACCCGAAGCCCTAAACACAAAACCCCAAACCCTAGGGTTTAGGGTTTAGGGACCCTAAACCCGAAAACGCCAATTCACCCCGTATCAAGCCCGAAACAAGAAGCCTTCCCCTAGTTTGGGGTAGCCAGGGCGTTCTTCGTCAACATCCACGTCGTCTTGCAGGCTGGATTTAGCTTCAGGGTTTAGGGTTTTGGGATTTCGAGGTTAGGACTTCGAGTTAAGGGATTTGAATATTTATTTTCTTCTCGTGTATGTGTTGTTGCGAGCAGGCCTTATGTTGTTGGTGGGGGTGGTTGTCGTCGTATCACCTAAACGGTCCTAAACCCCGAAACGTAAGATGCGAGGAAACCTCAAACCCAAATCCTACGTACAAATTTGAACCGTTTTGAGCCCCGAAATCCTGAAAACTAAAGCCCTAAACCTTCTGACCCAACACCCAAAACCCTAAGGGCTTGGGTTTAGGGTTTAGGGTTTGGGCTGAAGGGTGACAAGAAAACTCTAAACCCACAAGCCCAACCCGTGAACCCAGATTGCTTACTTTCCACACCCATGAATGCTCACTTAGCTTCAGCTCCTTAAGACGAGCGCAGCAAACGGAGGTCCCTTTCACGCTAAACCCTCAACCCTAAATCCTAAATCCTAAACACTAAGCCCTAAACCCTAAACCCTAAACCCCAAACCTCAAACCCACGGAGGTCCCTTTCACCGCAGAGATCTGGCGTTGGGTGGTGTACGCCTTGCTGGCTCTGCTGCAGATGCTGATGTCCGCCGTGGTGCAAAGGCGCCGGAGAGTTCGGTTCGGGATTCGGATCGACGGTTCTAGAGGCTTTAGGATTTTTATGTTTATTTTTGTTGGAGTTTAGGGTTCCAGAGGGTTTAGGGTCTAGGGGTTTAGGGTTCGAGAGGGTTTAGGAGTTGGTGTTGTTTTGGGGGTTTAGGGGTGTAGGGTTCCAGAGGGTTTAGGGTCTAGGGGTTTAGGGTTCCAGAGGGTTTAGGAGTTGGGGGTTTAGGGGTTTAGAAGTCTCGGGTTCCAACAGGGTTTAGGGTTTAGGGTTGAGTTCTTCGCACTTCTCGATGCCTTGAAAATTTTTGGTAAGGACATGCAGAACGCTTCTAAGACAGCTTCGGGTTCAAGGTTTGAGGGTTCAGGACGGCGAAAGACCAAAATCCAGAATTTTTCCTAAGCACTAAGTTCGGTTAATCTAGGGGCCTTAACAATTACCGATTCCATTTTGGGGATTCTTGATAGTATAATGGGCCCCAAAACCCTATTCCAATTATTAAGGCCCCATATATTAAACTCTAAGGTTCTAAACGTTGCATGAAGTACATAGGGTTATGCACGAGAGTTTAGCGAGTGTACATAAGGCTCCTTTCCAGTTGATGACTGAATATGTTGAAGGAACTACATGTGCACAAGCAACAAGAATCCTAAGCTTTCCTAAACCCTCTACATCCGTAGTCCGAAGACTAACCTGCTGTGTGCTCTAACCACCGAATAAGCCCTGTAGCAAACCCACTCAGCAGCAGGACTGCAATTCCTTATCAAGATTTTGAGAGATGCAAACCTTAAGCCGCGACACATCGAGCCCTAAAATTCAAAGCCACCGCCCACCGTAATAATATAGATCCGAACCCTAAACCCTAAACCCTAGTAGGATTGCAGGATCCTTGTGGCATGGCCCACTCAAGAGGGAGAACACACCCGAATCCCTGAACAGCAGAAGCTGTAGGTCTCGTCTGCAGAAGCCATAAGCCCAAAGTCTTGCCCTATGAACGCACCCTACACACCCCAGGGAGCCCCGAGTAGGACTGCGATGATGGTGCAGTCCTAGACCTTACATCCATGCATCCAGCAGCCTATGCCGAGTAACAGCCAAGTCCTATACTGTTCAAACAAAGCCGAAGAAGGACGGTGCCATAGGCCTTAGAAAGAACCCTGTAGAGCCGCGTGAAGCCCTGAACAGATTCCCCAAATCGGACGGGCCATACACACTAACAAGAAGATAAAGCATTAAAGTATACTCGAGGTCCCTAAACTCTAAACGTAAACCCTAAATCCGAAGTCAGACCATGCGCCATCCCTGCCACGACAGGCTAAAGGATAATATAAAGCCATTCTCAATTCGGGTCTAGGGTCGTGCGATCGGCCCTATGAAGCCACAGCAGAAAAAAATCCAAAGTAGGACAGCGAATTAGGCCCTCTTACACAAACCGTGTAAAGCTCAGTATAAACTTTGATTTGCTTCCAAAATAGAATGGTTCCTTTTTCGAAATGGTAGAAAATACTACTTCCAAAGTAGGACGGTGCCACAGGCTAAGCCGCACTAAACGCCATGAGAAGGGACTGGGTTGAGGGTTTTGGGGACTGGGTTAGGGTTTTGGGGACTAGCGTTGATGGTTTTGGGGTTTAGGGTTTAGGGTTTTGGGGTTTTGGGGACTAGGGTTTGGGGTTTTGGGGTTTAGGGGTTTAGGGTTTAGGCTTTAGGGTTTTGGGGTTTAGGGTTTGGGGTTTAGGGTTGAGGGGTTTGGGTTTAGGGGTTTAGGGGTACAAAGGCGTTAAGAAGATTTCCAGAGAAGGACGGGGTTGCAGGCCTTGAAGAGACCCTGTAGAAATCCTAAAGCCACTGTGCCTAAACCTTACACCCCTAAACCCTAAACCCTAAACCCTTAACCCTAAGCCCTGAGCCTTAAGCCCTAAACCCTAAACCCTAAGCTTCGCAAAAGTTAAAAGTCTTGAAACTAAAACATTCAACTCTAAGCCCCCTTTGCCCTAAGCCCTACAGTTCCCTTGTGTGACCTATTCATCGGATCCCTTAAAGTAAAAGCCAGAAAGTTGGAATATGATTATCCTAAGCCCTTTATGGTAAATTATAAGGTATCCTACCCTGAAACCATATTCCAACTTTCTGGAGCTCCCTTTAAAGGAAGCCACCAAAACCGTGTTAGGACGGTGCCAATGGTGATGGGGGCTTTGGGCGCCTTCGTGGTGGCCTGGAAGATCGGCTTCGAGGCAACCCGCGAACTCTTTACTGCAGGTAAGCGAAGGGTATAGGGTTTAGGGAGTTTTGGGTTTAGGAGTTCCGGGCTTAGGATTTAGGGTTAGCTTTTGTAAGACATGTGGGTAGTTGCCAAATTTAGGGTGCCTTTTTGGGTACCCTAAATATTAGGTGCCGTATTATAGTAGGGGCCCAAAAATGGACCGTAATTTTGACAACCACCCATGTGTTTTTCGACCTTCTTAGTGTATGTATCTATGTGTGCTTTTATCTACATAGCTACCTATGCTATAGACACCTATACCTGTTTCCGTATGGGTAGTTGTCAACATTAAGGTCCCTTGTTTGGGTACCCTGAATAATAGGTGCCGTATTATAATAGGGACCCAAAAGGGGACCATAATTTTGACAACCACCCTTATATATATATATATATATATTATACCATATATATATATATATGTATATGTGTGGCAGGAGCCTTTATTGTGCGTATTGCCACCTCCCGCACTTAGTCTTGTGTTACAGTGTCGAATGTTTTAGAACAGTAGGTTGATATGCTTTAACATAATTCGATAGTGTAGCGTTCCGCAGAACCAACAACCGCTGCAAGTAAGTTTAGTGTTCTATATTCAAGGCCATTCCTGCTGATTCGCAGCAGTTTCAACCTCCAGGAACTTTCATGTGCATGGAGCGGGCGCGGCTCTTCGACAGAGTAACTACTCCTGCTGTTCAAGCATATCTATACATGTATAAGTTATGTGTTATTGCACGTATATACCAACCAATCAATCAGTCAACCAAGCAAGCAGTCAATCAAGCACACCAGCACTCGCTCCAAAGTCTCTCATTCGCTCATGCACTCAATCAACCAAGGTTAACATCCTACTATGGACCTACCTACCTACCTACCCACCCAACTGCCCGCCTGCTTACCTACCTTATGTATCTATCTGTCTATCTAAAGGTAGGGGTATAGATACACACATATGCCCCATGATCCGAAACCCGTAAACCCTGAATCCGAAGTTCTTCAACCCGAAGCCTTTAATCCTGGAACCTTAAGCCAAAGTCATGAAACCCTAAACCCTGACCTGGTTTAGGGTTCAGGGTTAAGGTTTAGGGTATTAAACCCTAAACCCCTGACCCCGTGAAGGTGTCCGAAGCACTCCAGTTCGGCTCGCGCGAAGTGTGTCTCGGTTTGCTTATGAAACAGTCCCTACTTAAAGGCTCATGGGACTTAGTAAGTAAGGTTATAAGTAGGTTATAAGTAGGATAACCCCACTTAGGGGACGTATAACCCCAATCTTTACCTACTTACTAAGTCCCATGATCCTTTAAGTACACATTGCAGGTATAAGGTTCCTATAAGAGTTCCCTTAAGGGTTCTCTTAAGGGTCCCTTCAAACTCCTTTGAGGGATTCAGGGATCTATAGGGTTAAACAAGTCAAGGCTTGAAGTGTCTAGGGTTTCATGTCAGCCCGACTCTCCCGGAAGCTGACATGAGACCTGAACAGGATACGGTTTAGGGTTTAGGGTGCCTGTTCAAGTAACCATACTTAGACTTATGCATATCACCAACTCATGTACTTGCAGGCTTACGCACTTGCTAAGTTTTATGATCCTCCCACCCTAAACCCAAAACCCTGAACCATAAACCCTAAGCCCTGAACTTAGGGCTAAGCTTTGCATCCTAAATCCTAAGCTTGAAACCCTAAATCTCGAAACCTAAACCCCTGACTCTCTACTGTAGGGCCCAAAATAAATACCAATACATTTTTGTGGGGGGTTCCTTATTATAACTATAGTATAATGGGCCCCAAAACCCTATGCCAATTATTAAGGCCCCTATATCATAGTACGCTTATAGATCCCTTTGAGGGAACCCTTATAGACCCCCTTTAAAGGAACCCTTTTCATTCTAATTATTAAAGCCCCTATAATAAATCCCCACAATACCCCCTATACTAACCATTTCTTATAGTAACCCTTATTTGACCCTCTTTTAGGAACTTTTTCCTAAACCTAAACCTTAGAAGCTGCCCCCACCCTGTAATAGTGGTAAAATAGGAATATAATAGGGCCCTAATATAATCCTTATAGTCACTATTACAGGGTGGGGGCAGCTTCTACCCTAAACCCTAAACCCTAAACCCTAAACCTTAAACCCTAAACCTTAAACCCTAAACCCTAAACCCTAGCCCGACTGCAAGAGGGCTCTCCTTTCAGACCAGCTTACGACCACTTCTTCAGGGTTCCTTTCAAGGCTACTATAGGTTTCCTTAAAGGGTTCCTTAAAAGGATCCATAAGGGTTCTATAAGGGGGAGTTTAGGGTACTTAAAGGATCATGGGACTTAGGAAGGTTCCTTTAAAGGGCTCCTTTGAAGAATCCTTTAGGGTTCAGGGTTTAGGGATCTATAAGGGTTCTATAAGGGGGCTTGGGGGTTGAAGGTTCATGGGACTTAGTAACTAGTAGCTAGGCTTAGGATAAGGGTAACTGTGCTTATGCCGAGCTATAACCCCAATCAAAGCATCCATAAATCTTTCTTACAAAGTCCCATGATCCTCCACGTAGGACATCGAGTGGGGCTTTGGGCTATATTACAGGTCTTGAGGGTTTGGGCTTCAGAGTTTAGGGTTTGGGCTTTAGAGTTTAGTGTTAGGGGTTTAGGGTTGGGGGCTTTATATGTAGGGCAATGTAGGGTTCAAGATGCTGGAGCCTTTTCCTGCAAGGGTCCGAACATAGAACACAAGTATAGAATCCACAGGAGCAACGCAACAAGGTGGGTTGGAGGAGTATACCCGAAACCCTAAACCCGAAACCCTAAACCCTAAACCCTAATCCCGAAACCCTAAACCGACCTGGGCCTGAGAAAGGGGGGCCTCGATAGCCAGCAGCTAGCATCATTACCCTGAGTTTGAGTCGGTTTTGTTTTTTGCTGTTTAAAGACTCAAGCGCTTAAGAACTGCTAAAGCCAAAGCCCCAAGTCCTCGGTTGCCACGAGCTGGTTTAGGGTTGCGGGTTGAAGTGCTTATGGCCTGGTTTAGACGAGCACGTCAGCACCCCACCCAAACTGTCAAACTCCAAACCCTAGACCCTAAAGTCCAAACGAAGCCGTAGGCCCTCAGCCCTAAACCCAAAGCCCTAACACCTAAACCCTAATAAAGAGCCCATCTTAAACTCATGTCCTGAAGCCCAAACTTCAACACCCTAAACCCTAGACCAAGAAGCCAAGAACCCTGAAAGAATGCTTAACAAAACCCTGAATGTGAAGCCCCCAAGCCAGCATGGAATTCGAATAATTGGCATTAGTATACCGATAAATCCCTGTATGATTATACTAGAATACACCCCGCATCCCAAAGTTAAGAAATAAAGAGCAAGGCAGCGTCCGAAGCCCTAAACACTAAACCCTAAATTAAGGCCAGTCACCCATAAATATAATGTAGGAACGTGATCAAGAAGAGTGATGATATAAATCCTGCATTACCCATAATAAGGAACATACCATAATTCCTATAGTTCAGGGACAGGAAGGTAATGCAGGATTTATATCATCACCTATGCTTAAAGGCTCATGGGACTTAGTAAGTAAGGTTATAAGTAGCCTATAGTTAGGATAACCCACTTAGGGGACTTATAACCCCAATTTTAACCTGCTTACTAAGTCCCATGATCCTTTAAGTAGTATAGAGTACATAGTCACATTATGAAAGCACGCAGAACCCTAAAAGACTTTATTCAAACAAGCAAGGCAGAACCCCGAAGCCCGAGACCCTCCCCGGCTGGGTTTTAGGGTTTAGGATTTAGGGTTTAGGGTTGATTAAAGCCGCAGGCAGTATCTCACCACCTTTGCCATTATCGGCCTCGAGGGGGTTGGAATTATCCTTGCAGCGATCGCCTTCGCACGGAACCGCGACAAGGTCCAGGCGCGGAGACATCTTGAGGGTGGGATTTTGTCGTGTCTTGGGCATAAGAGTCAAAGAATTGGGTATTTTAGGGTTTTGTGTTTTAGGAATGCGGCTTTTGGAGTGTTCTTGGAGGTTTGATTGGGGTGGTCTAGGGGGGTGTCCCTATAAACCCTAAACCGCAAACCCTAAACCCATTTGTGGGATTTCAGCGCTCCGGATGGGCTAAGCATGAACATCAAAACCGACACTCCACCTATGTCTAGGCCGGGACTTAGATTTAGGGTCTACTGCTGCGGGTACCTGCGATTCTCTGCTATTCGCGATGAACTTTCCGAGGTTTTGTAGCGACTTTCCGCTTAGGGCTTGGACGGGCTTCTATTCCCTGGCATTATGGTCTTACAACACCCCAAACCCTGTTCTAATTGGTCACAAAGTTGCTAGAAGCCACTCCTCAAAGAAAAACCTCGAAGAACACTCGAAGAACCCTAAACCCTACACCGCAAACCCTAAACCCTAAACCCCTAAATCCTAAACCCTGAAGCCCCATACTCTCGATTCCTCGTCGTTTGGAGTCCTGAAATTCGCGAACCCACGATCTTAGTCTCGAAACCGTAAACCTCACACCCGAATTAGGCTGTTATTCAAGAGACAACTGCCTTCGACGCTGACCGCCAGCTTGCATCCAGCTTCAATTCTTTCTTGATTCTGCATATCAGCTAAACCCCCTCACACCTGTTAAGGTTTAGGGTCAGCGGTTTAGGGTTCGTACTACGATGGCCTGAATGGTAAGCTCTACGTTTTGGGTTCCCCCGGCTTCTACCGCCAGGATTGGGTGCGCGGTCTGCTCTGTTGCGGACCCTGCCAAAAGAAGACCCAGCCGGAAGATTAACTAGGATGCCCAGTAGTACCCTTATTCCCTTTTTGTAGTCCTAGGTTCCTTATAAAGTTACCCAATACCAAAAAGAGAGGCCTTTTTATTCTTAGGTTACTGGGTATCCTAGTTAACCTCTGGAGAGACACTCGTGCCGTTACAGACTTGGTACTCTCGCAGGGAAGGCGGAGTTGTGCGTAGCGGGCTGTGGTAGCTGGTGTCGTGGTGGTTCCGTGTGTTGTTGGTGTTGTTGTTATTGTTGTTGTTGTTGTTGTTGTTGTTGTTGTTGTTGTTGTTGTTGTTGTTGTTGTTGTTGTTGTTGTTGTTGTTGTTGTTGTTGTTGTTGTTGTTGTTGTTGTTGTTGTTGTTGTTGTTGTTGTTGTTGTTGGTGGTGGTGGTGGTGGTGGTGGTGGTGGTGGTGGTGGTGGTGGTGGTGGTAAATACTCGTAGTACGAGCAGCAGGAAGTATATACAAGTAGGTGGTTGTCAAAGTTGAAGTCCCTTTTTGGGTACCCTAAATATTAGGTGCCGTATTATAATAGGGACCCAATAAAGGAAATCAATTTTGACAACCATCCAAGTGTGTGTGTGTGTGTGGGGAGTAGGCGTAGGAGCGCGGCGCAGGGTTTGAGGTTGAGACTCTTGGGGGTTCAGGGTGAAGGGTTCCTTCAAGGGTAGTATATACATGCATATATATATATATATATACATACATATATATATATATATATATGTATATAGAGATAGCTAGATAGATAGATTTTTTTGGGGGTTAGGGGTTTAGGGTTCAGCGATCCTTTAAGGGGTTCAATACTATAAGAGTGCTGAGGAGGCAGGAATGGTGGGCAGCGGTCTCTGTCGACTCAGCGCTTTCGGGGTTGGGAGTCATAAGGATCATGGACTTTTGGTGATTTTGCTGCAGGGTTTAGGGTCTAGGGTTTAGGGTTCGGGAGCAGGGTCTAGGGCACGCCCTCTCCGAGTTTAGTAGTGACGTCTCCAAGTGGCTTGTCGGAGATCGGGCATAGACACGCCCGGACTTCGTCCAGCACTTTGGGGGTCTCGACCCGCCGAGCAGCAGACATGGCTTTGTTTTCAACGTGCCATGAGGGTGTCAACTGTGAGATCGCTAAACCCTACACTCTAGACCCTGAACCCTAAACCCTAAACGCTAAACCCTGAACCCTAGTCTCATCTGAAGGTGTCCTAGGGTTGCCCAGGCTCCAGGATTTAGGGTTCAGAAGCTTCACATCAGGTAAACCCAAGTTACAAACTCGGACCCCCACAACCCAAAATTAAGCCAAGGCCAAGCTCTTAAACAAAGGTTCTCTAAGACAGTTCTGACAAAATTCCCAAAACCGAAACCTTGGAACAAGATCCTCCAAAACCCAGGTCTAACCCGGTTTTGAGTTTGGGTTTAGGGTTTAGGATGTAACTTCAGGGGTTCCATTCTTTGGATCCCAACAGGGCCTTGAATCTCAGTGCCCGGAATCCTCAGCCTATTTTGCGTGCGGGAGTGTTTTACCCTTAACCCTACATTTAGGGTTGTAGGGTTTTAGGGGTTTAGGGGTTTAGGGTTTAGGGGTTTAGGGTTTTAGGGTTTTAGGGTTTAGGGTTCAGAGTACGCGGGCCTAACAAGTCGCCCCAAGCCCTGAACCCTACACCATACGGCAAACCCCAAAAAGTTGGAAGCCGGATTAGGACCAATTGGTGCTGGGATTCCCTATACATTACTCTTAAGGATTGAGGCTCCCTAAACCCTAAACCCTAAACCCTAAACTTTTGGGCTTGTACTGTAAACCCTAACTATCACATCTGCCCGATTCCTTTCCGAGGGTTAAACCCAGCATTGCACGCCCTAATCCGTAAGCCCACAGCCCAACACCCCGAATCCTGAACTCTAAACCCTGCTACCGAAGTCGACACCCCGGCAGCCAGTTTTGAAGCAGCTGTGGGCCCATGACCTCGATGGCTCCACAGCGGCTCTTTCTGGGACCTCGGCGGGTTTTTTGCTTGCACCACGCCACGCTGAAGCCTTGACCCTGTTCTTGCGGTCTACCGAAAGGGATCATGGACTTAGTACCGAGGGCAGGGTTATTACAGCTATTACTAGGGTATCTACACTTGTAGGTACATGCTCATGAGGCCAAGTAAGATACGTATAAACCTTACTAAGTCCCATGATCCTGCAAGCAAGGTTCAAGTCATTGTAGGGTTTAGAGTTTAGGGTTCACCCAGGAGCCACTAGCATCCAACATGTTTACTTCGTGCCTGGTCTACAGTAGAAGACAAAGATTGGAAACCCAATAGCCTCAATCCAGTAATGTATAGGGAATCCCAGCACTATTTGGCCTTAACCCGGTTTCCAACTTTATGGGGTTTACTGTAGGTGAGAAAGGATTCGACGAGGTTCTACGGCTTTTGTGTGGTTTTAACGGGACTCAACTGATAGGGGAAACAGTAACGACGGCAGGGCCTGGAAGTATCCTGACTGGGCTACGCAATTGAAGGCCTTGTTCAGCACCTGCTCGATATGAAATACACACTACTTAGAGGATCATGAGACTTAGTAACTGGGGCTATAAAGAAGGTAACCATACTTATAATTCCTTGCAACCCCCAGTTAAGGTACTTATAACCTTATTCACCGAGTCCCATGAACCTCCAAGTAGACCCTAAACCCACGCCTTTCTCAGCTAAGAATTCTGAGTTTAGGGCCCGGGGTGTACCCTAAACCCTAAACCCTAAACCCTAAACCCTAGAACCCTAAACCCTAAAGGGGTGTGAGGCTGCCCAACACTTCAACAATCCTCAAGCGCAGAGTCCTTCGCTGTTGCAGCTCTATCCAGGCCAGTAGCAGGTCCTGAAATCCATGGTCTTATGATTATGATTATGATTATGATTATTATTATTATATTATTATTATTATTGTATATATATATATATTTATTTATTTATTTATATTTATGTATTTTGAATTTCAGGGCCAAAATACATATTATTTGGGTAGATGAACCCATAGGGAATATACCTTGCATCCTGGTAAGGCCCTAGGATGACTGCTGGGATTGCCTATACTTTGCCTTAAAAGACCATACTTAAAGGATCATGGGACTTAGTAAGTAGGTTATAATTGGGCTTATAAGTCCCCTAAGTGGGGTTATCCGAATCATAACCTACTTATAACCTTACTTACTAAGTCCCATGAGCCTTTAAGTAATATTGCGACTTCCTGGCCTCTACTTTAAGGGTTTAGTTCAGGGGCTTGTCCTTTAGGGTTTAGGGTTTTAGGGTTTTAGGGTTTTAGGGTTTTAGGGTTTTAGGGTTTTAGGGTTTAGGGCTTAGGGCTTAGGGCTTAGGGTTTAGTTTAGGGTTTTGGATCCTTGGCCCTCGACCTCTGAACCTGAATACTGAACACCCCTAACCTATCAAGGCCAAAAACCAGACAGAAACCCTCTTGAACCCTTGTAGAACCCCACCGAAACCCTAGATGCTATAACACCCCCATAAAGGGATTATGGGTAATTTGAAAGCTGTGTTTGAGGCCTTGGGCCCTCAAGCACAACCTCGCAACCAAATGACTACATGTTACTCCCGTCGGGGTTTTTGGGGTCAAGGGTTTTGGGGTTGTTGAGTTTTCGGGTTTGACGGTTTTGGGGTTCAGGGTTTAGGTCTAGGCCTTACGGCCTTAGGGCTTAGGTCAGGGGGCGCCCAACACCCTGTAGCATGATGCTCAGGCTTAGGGTTAAAGTAATCTTAGGGGTAAGTCAAAAAAATAAGTTTTAGTTTTGGTTATTATAACCCCTAAGAAACAGCTAGAATTATAATTTTTGCTAGGGTTCTAAGTTCAGTATAGTCATGTGAGACTCGAAGGTTCAAGGATTGAGATGTCAATAGCCGTAGTGTACAGCAGTCTCCGGCAGACTCATTTCAGTACTGCCCCCGGCTGCACAATTGCAGGGCACGGGGCGTATGACGCTGAAGAGGCGTTCTTGGAAAGGTTTCAAAAGTTGCCGAAGCCAGGAAACCAGCCCGCAAAACTCAACCTTGCCATGCAGACCGGAGTAATTAGTAGCAGAATCCCTGTATAGACGCTCCATTATTAGAATGTCTAAGCCTCTACACCAGGTCCTAAACCCTGCGCAAAGTTTCCAAGGCTCTCATGAAAGGGATCCGACTCTTTCTGTTTCTGCAACACCGTAAAGCCTAAACCCTAAACCCCTATACCCCTACACCCTAAACCCTAATCCCCTAAACCCCTAAACCCTAAAGGAAAACCCTGAACCTTGTGCTTCCTCCCTTTTGGTTTCTTTCCCTTCTTGCCGGAACCCCTCAAGGGAGGCTGCGGGGATTCCCCCCTTCGACCAGAAAGCTCATAGGAGCTCCAGTGTAGAGTTCTGCGGATTGTGAGCCCCAAACCCGAAACTCTGAACGCAATAAACAGCATCCCTAAAAAGGTTGAAGTTCAACAGGTGTAGATTTCGGGTTTTGGGCTTAGGGTGCAGGGTTTAGGATTTTGGGTTTGGCGGGTTTATCTGACTGCTTGTGAATATTTGAGTGTGTAATTGGACGTGTTCCCATGGAGATACCCTAAACCCTAAGCCCTAAACCCCAAAGCCTAGACCCCATCTGCTGCAGCACGGGCTCGTAGGAGACAGATTTGTGAAGGCCGTTTTAGGGCTTCAGTACCATGACTCTTCCCAGCGCTTTCGTGCCCAATTCCAGAACCATGGTGTTGCCGCTGCAGCCGCTACGTGGCTTGAACTGGGGCTCCACAGTGTGTGTGGAGAGGGGGGGAGAGCGGGGTTCCTGTAAAGGGATCCATAAGGGTTCTCCAAAGGACCTATGACCTTTGTGAGTTCTGGAATAAGGATAGGTGTGACCGTGTATGTGTGGGCGTGTGTCCGTGTGCGCACGTATGTGTGCAAGACATCCCTGCAAAGCCACGCAGATAGCTGTACTATTCAGGCCCGGGAAGTATCCTAAATCCCACATCCTAAATACAAAACACCAAGCCCTAA